ACGTTGAAGATGCAGTTTTTGACAAATAATTCTGATTTCCTTTTAACAATAATCTCGGTACTGTGAATTGTAATCCATTTCTTGTAAATCATTCCAACAACAGGAATGTTTACGGCAAATTACGATATTTTACGACGATAGCCATCACAAATTTAATCATCAACCACTTTACCTTTTTACGCATTTCCTGTCATCCGTCTTTTCGCGATTTCAATGGAGTACTTGTGAAATTCAAAAGGGTTGCAGCACCATGAAGTATCCCACCTTTTTGCTCTAATTTTGGATTTTAAATAAAGCTCTGAACGCACAAATTTTTCACTGTTTAATGAACACTTGGAACCACACAAAATACCACAATGTCTATCTTGAACCCATTCTTCATAAGTCATAAAGCGTCCTCACCGACTCGGGCCTACTCTGTGTTGGATACTTCAGTTTGAGTGCAAGTGATTATGGCCCTTAAAAGTACAATGGATTATTATGAAAAGGATTATGGCCCTTATTTATTACATAATAACTTGATGTAGCCTGCTACGAAATTTGAACCATCATCACAAGAATCACTCATTCGATGGTTCCTTATATAGGGATTTAAATCTTTAATATTTGTGGTAATTTTTTAAAAGTTTGTTAACTTATTCCATTAATTTTCCTCGATTTCAACTTGCATGTCTCAACTTTAAATTGGTGCTTTATTTATATATTTTATAAATAAAAGTGTATTTACTATAAATATTTTCGAATGTCAGTAAACAAACCCTATAAGCTAGGAGTCTTAGATCTTGGCATGTAACTACTACCTATTACTATGTTAATTACACAATAAAATGAAAGACAATAAAGAATCTACCCTTTAAAACCAGCAAATTTGGTATGGTGGCGCGAGTTTTCGTCAGAAATATTTATATTATACGTCACTGATAACGAAAATATTGATAATTCAGTAAATTATACACTCTTACACACTATTTAGTCAGAGCACACAAAGCTTACATGACTAGCCAGCGAATGGGTAGAACTGCGGCCTTGATACCAAAAAATTTGTTTACAGCAAAACTTGAGACTGTCTGTCCAAGAACAACGCTAGCAGCGTAACTATTCCTAAATTGATAACTGATCTGACAGATGTCATAGACCTTTGAATTTACAAACCTACAAAACAATTTTTTTTTTCAAAAACAGCTCAAAATTTTTTTATTGTTTAGAGGAATGTACGCTTATAAAAATTGCACCATTCCGATTTTTTTCAACTCTCTGGATTTTCGAAAATTGCAAAAGTATACTTTTTTTTGCCTCTTCTTACAACTACAATATTGAACACAGATACTTTTTTTCTGAATGAAATCATATCTTCAAAATTCGAACGTTAAATAGAGTCATGAACATTTGTTCCAAATTGGAGTAGTTTTCCGGTGATTTTGCGCAAATTAAATGAAAAACAGCTTGCAAAAACAGCTCCAATTTTTTTCATTTACCTCTTTATAGAGATACAAACTCTCTAATTAACTAATTCAAGGGGGGAAAATTTGAATAGTTGTAAATTTCGTCCCCCTTGCAAAAAATTGCAAATGTTAATTACAGAGTTCTTTATAAACGTTTTTTAATTATGATAAATAATAGAAGACCCATAATTATAAGTAATTCCATTTATTATCATTTCATTAGATATTATTTTAGTTGCAAATGAATGTGAGTTTTCTCTACAAAGAAAAATTAGTAATTTGAACTTACTTTTTTTTTTGTACTCTTACATTACTTAAAATAGCACATTCAAGTTCACGGGGCACTTTCATGATTTCATTGGAATTGCCTCACAACATAATAAATGACTAACACATTAAGTGCGTTACTGACTTCATTCGCATATTTGCGTTTTGGTTGACACTCATCTTCCTCTTCTCGCTCCCCAACATCTTCATGCATCTGTTCAATGTTGTCAATACGGTCGTAAGGAAGTGCTTCATTTTCTCCTTGTATTTCAACATTGTTGTCAACACAAAAAAAGCCATTAAACTGAATGTCTCATTATCATTGTCATAATCATGTCATAAACATTCATGTCTGTTACCAGCTCCCTCCATTCATGTTTAGTTTCTTGTGGTTCGTGTCCATCTGTTTCATCAGTTGCAGTATACTGATGGGACAAAAAGCCCGGTTTCTTGAAGCAGTTTTGTACAGTAGAATTTGGTGTAATGCTATTCCAAGTCACCAGGGACGGATCCAGAGACGAGTTTTAGGAGAGGAAATTCAATATATTGTCCTCGAATATGTCTCAATACAGATTTTTGAATTTCGTTTTAATAATAATGCGAAAATATCTTTGCTTGAATGTCTCGTGACAAGTTAAAATTAATACAGAGAAGGGGGGATTTCCCTCCCCGTGGATACATGCCTGCAAGCCACGCACAGTCTCTGCATGGCTTGTAAAACGTTACATTTTGATAAGGTTGTCTCTCTTTCCATTTGCTTCAACAGAAATTTTGAATAAAAAAGCTACATTGATTTACCGATCACACTCGACTCACAGTCGGGCATTTATATAGGATCACTAGCATGGGGAAATATAACTTTGCGGATTTTGATAATCTAAAATAACGCCAAAAACGATCAATAAATACTCTTAAAATGTTTTGAAATTGCGCTAAAAGCAAAGGAACATGACGTAAATAATTTTACCAAAACAAATTCAGATGCGTAACTCATGCTGTTGGTATTACTGATCTATGTTTGTGTAACATGAACATGATGTACAAATTGTAGAACCGTCTAAATGTCTCGATAAAGTAATCCCGCGTTGTATTGTAAGCCGTTTAGTTCCGAATGGGAACCCTGGCTCTGGCTGTATTTCAGCCCAGTAGTACGTATGGAAAATGTCTTAGACTGTATTCCACAGAGGCGTCAGTCATATCTCTTCCTTACTCCGCTTGGCGATAAGCTTGACAAGCAGAGCTACAGAGACTTGGAGAGTGGCTAACGCATACGGAATCTGTTGGCGAAGGAGGTGTCTCTCTAGATGCCAACTGAGTGATCGTGGGCCGTTGTGACTTTTCACGCAATTACGAAGTACCATAAAGAAAAGAATAGGGCATGGATTGCTTACATACGCCGGGAGAAGGCGCGGTAATAGGTACTTAAAAAGAGATAGAAAGTGTCTAAGAGATCAAGAGAAGAGGGAAATCTAATAAAAAGAAAAAAGAGCAGGCTAGAGACATTTTGTGAAATCCTGCCGACTTTCTTCAGTCCTGGTCAGTAATGTTTGTATGTATGTGAATGTTTAATTTCTAAATGTACATCATGCGTTTTTATTTAAATTCTGTGTTCACATCTGTATCATAGAATGAAAAATATGACATCCTAATGCTTTATTTTGCAACTTTGAATTAAACGATTTTAATAAAAAAATACTATTTTTTGTAATTTAAAACCATAAAGTATCCATTAACTATCAAACTTAATATTTTAATTTTGTTAAAAGCGGGATAATAATTAACCTTGTTTATAATTTATATTATCTTGGGTTCTTAAGGTATATAAGACATACTTATTCCCCCAAAATTCGTCTCAGGATCCGCCCCTGAACAAGGGAAATGTCGTCTTGAGCCATCGGTTGTAACTTGCCGATACAATTTGGAGGGAAAATTGTATCTTTATGCTACAAAGAAGAGATCAGTTGAGTTGTGACTCTTAAAAGTATCAAGGATAGCAATATCAGCAGATTTTTGCCTTCATTCTTGCATCCAGAATCTGTAGCCTGTCTCCGAACAGGGTCGTCATCCATGCTTTACAACTGTTTTCGTACGTGCAAGGAAGAGAAACATCTTGGTTTTGCATACTTTGTAATGACTAAACAAATGACTGTTTTCCTGAGCCATCATTATTACAGCGCACAAGCATTGTAAAACGTTGTTTACTTTGCTTGCCCCCAAGGCATTTTCCCCCTATCAACGATGACTGGACAGGCAGCAAATTGAAGTCTGCTTCATCAGCACTAAAAATATATTTTACGTTGAACACCTCAGTTTTTTTAGCTTTAAGCGCCAGTCCACTTCAATATCGGGATCAACGTCACCTTTTTCTCCGGCTTCTTTCAGCGACACAATATCCCATCTCTTCTTAAATTTAACTAACCATCCTTTAATGCCTAAAAATCGTTATTTACTTATTTTAGTCTAGCCCTTTCTTGTAATATTGGCCCACTAACCGGTATAGATGCTTTCCTTGCATGCATTTAGCCAATCAAAAATATTTTTATGTAACTGTAGTCATGCACGGACGTCGAGGGTGATTTTTGGGAAACGCAAGTTGTTCCGCTCTATGAGCATTTGAAAATTATGAAAATTGTGGAATTGGCACTTCCATATCTTGATGTTATAACCGCTTTCTTGCGTAACTGTCAACTCCTCTTAAAATTTCATGCTTCTGAGATTGAGCTCGTTGCGACATGTTTTCACTCTTCCATAGCGTCTGCTTGGGTATCATCCTACACGACCACAAAAGTGAATACTGAATACGTTTATACACAATACATGCTAGTCCAATGTAACAGAAGCACATTTCGAAATGTGGCACGGTCCCATCCTGTCAACGACAAATGCTTACAAGACTTTTCCGTTCACGACTTATACAATATACTCTCCAAAGACCAACCGAAGCGACCAATCAGCGTCAGTACGTCGTCTCAATAGCGAATTGGAGCACTCTGGTGGAAGAACGTGGAACTATTGAAGCCGCGTGCAAACACCTATAAATGCTCTGGTTTTCGAAAAAAGCAATGTGTTGTTTTTATCCACGACCAACTACATCGTTATTACCCAATTGCTGACCTGAATTTCCAAACATTCAATTTCATTTGTAGCCATGAGGCGCAAAAGTAGCATGATCGGAAACAATGTTCGCTGATTAGACGGTTGAAGTTCGTTACAAGTGAGAGAAATACATAGAACTTACGGGGTATGAGCAGGGCCCAACAACTTCGTTATTTAGAGCTACGATAATAAGAGTTCGTTATTTGAGCGTTTACTGGAGTACCAAATGCATCTTAAGAAGATAGATGTACCATGACAAAAAATTCCATTTTGCAGATAGGCTACTTCTGTTTAACACTGATTTAACCAACACAATATTTCACAGCTTGATGGAGAAGCATGATAAGAATAAAACTAGAAAACAAACAGAAATATATACTTATCACTTAATTTCCAATAACACTTCAATTATACAAACTTAATCAATATTTATGAACATCCAATAATAAAGATTTTATTTTGATTTATTAGTAAGAACTTCAGGATTGAAAATAAAATAAATTTAATTATTACTCTCCACTAAGTACATTCAATAAACAAGAACACAAATACAAAAATACATCTAGTTGCAATGGCAAAGTTACCATTTAACTTCACCAACAAATCAGGTCTTTTGTACTTTTAAGAACCCTGATGTGTTTGAAAAATATTTTGCATTAGCTTCATTAACTTTCTTTTCAGCAGCTTGTGGATTTACAATTTCAAGACCCTGAAATAAAAACTTAATTACATGACTTCCATGTTGATAATTTGTTCAAAAAAAAAATAACACTAAAGTAATGTTACCTGCAAAGGAGTGAATGCTACACTGGATGCAGTGCCAGATACTTGTTTCCTGACGGTGGTACTTCCTCCCCATACTTGTTGCTGTTTTTGTAAATTTTTCTGAAGAGTCTTTGATATACGAACTTTAGTCTTTTCATCAATCTGGGGCAATCTGATTCGTCCTGTACCAGCCTTCCCTATAGTTCCTCTTGTGTAACCAAGATCTTCCTGATATGCATCATCTTCAATCTTTAAAATACAAAAGAATTTGTACATGGAATGAACACCTGATGGGCTTTTCGAAAGCTGTTCACTCAATCAACATGGACCTCCGATCCATCCCAAATGGATAACATAAATTTCCCAAACTCCCATGAAATCCTGAATTACTTGTAATCAGGAACAATTGCTTGTAACACTGTGCAACACAAGGTGAACTTGGTTTTGATTAACCTATTAACCTATTTGATGACCTATTAACCTGATGATGATGATGATGATGATATATTCACATACGAATAATGGTGAAATATTATGAATATAGAATTATTTTTATTAAAGGCTGTTTGGCAATGAAGATGTCTGATTTCTGTAATGTAATGAAATATACACCAATGCCTCAATGTATTCAAGGAAAATAAAGAATCCTGGAGGTGAAAAAATTTTTGTAAAAACCAACATATACAAATTTGTAATTACATGTGTATCCACTCCTTACTTACAAATATCCAGGTCATAATAATGGCAAAATTAAAACTACAAAAGTTGATAGGCTACACAATCACTGAACATTTTGTAAGATAAACTCAGCAGAAACGGTCGAGTTCTGGAGGTGGCTATGAATATTAATGAGTGGAAAAGAGGTATAAAGGCAGCAGAAGTAATGAGTTATGATGTGTGATGAGGACAGGCAGTAATGATGGACAGTAGGGCAGCAAGGTATATAGGTGCAATAAGTTTTTTGCCCTATGACACCGTGGTTGTGAGATGTCATAACAAATGACAAACCTCATATATGGTTAGAATCTTTAATCGGTATTTGATTGGTAGGAAAATATGTAATTTAACCTCCCAATGTCTAAAACAAAAATTACGCAAGTCTTTACTTACATCTGCAAAGTTCAGTCTGTTGGCTTGTTTTCTAAATTCAGTCATTGCATATCTCTCCTTCATTTTACGAACTCTTTTTCCTCCACGTTTCTTACGACTTGCATCAATTGGTTTTGGTAAAGGTTTAACAAATTTGACAGGTGGAGGCTCCTAGATTTAAAAAAAAAAGTACTGAATTACATCTTTACATATTACATCAGGAAGGGAAAAAATAGGAACAAAACCTCATTTCACAACACACAAATTCACTAACTCTTTCTTGCACATAAAACTTCGAAATCTGGCATTAACTAATGGGTTTGATGAAACTAAAAATAAGACTGGGGTTAAAAAAACTTTTCTCTAAATAAGTTATTTTAGGGAAACTGATTTTTTTTTTAATTTTAAACAAATTAAATGATTTAAGACAATATTTTACCTGTAATTTATCCAATTTCTTTTCTATTTCTTCTCGAAGATTTTGACCAATGTGCCCATCAACACTTACATGACATGCATCCACTCTTGCAGCTAAAGTACATTTTGTGGCAACTAGCCGAGCTGCTTTCCTTCGCAAATCCTGAAACATTATTTCAAATTAACCAAGGATTTTCAACACAAAATTATTCAAATCAAATAACTTAACTCACTGGAGGAGTGTCTTGTACTATTTCAGAATAGTATATAAATCCAGTATGCGGTAACATTGTTGCCTGTGAAAACCCTGATAAGGTCTTCTTTTGAGAACCCAAAACTAAAATACTGGAAGCTGGCATCTTTGAAAGTTTTGTTAAACCTCCAGCAACACCTGCAACATCGAAATATTGTGCATTATGATAGGAATAATAATCATAATACAAACTTCAAAATTTTGTTTAAACTACTGGTTACAATGACTTCTTTTTTGTTGAAAAGTGTGTATATACTTCAGGTATTTAGTGATATTCAGCCAGATGATTGGTCAGAAGGAGATTTTTTAGAACTTGAATTACGTTCGAGTTTCAACAGAATTTTGCGAGTCTCGGGCGCCCAGCAGTGACGCCGCGATCGGGCGGAAGAAACCGCGCGGGGGAGGGCCACGTGACTCGCGAAGCCGAGGAGGCAGCTGCAAGACGCAAGCTCGGCCACTCCGACAGTGGAGACGACAGCGAGTAGGAGAGCCTTTGCGAGGTGGAGGCGAGGGCGAGTTGCTTTGATTCACGGGGGACCGCCAGTAGATGCATTGCCGCATCACCACATCGCGGGCCGCCTCTGGGGACGCTGACTGAACGAACGCCACGGGCCAAGACAGTAAGTGCCCGACCGCGAGCACAGAGTGACGACGGGCCGAGGCGCGATTAACGCAGTCGCGAACCGTGCCGCCGATGCCCGGACCAGCGCTGTTGGCGCCACCACGCAGCCTGCCGCCGGCCGCCGCTCTCGTAACAGGGGTCGTGACCGTCGGGAACGACGCCGCTCTGCATCCCATGATAAACTCTGGCCCGTACGGACATATAGATTAAAGATAATTAGATATAAGATAATTTTACGAATTAATTTTCACCTAATGCAAAGGAAACATTAAAACCACCTTTGGAAAAAAAACAACACGTGTTTCAATGTAGTGTTAGCACTAGCTCTATCACGTATGCCTCCTTTAGAGTGTCTGCGTACTGAGCAGCTGGGGCAACGCTGGATCCGACGAAATACAGGTAATGAGGTGAGTCGGGGCAGCCACATGGCGGGTGTGGTTACAATATATATTTAAAATGCAAGTTATTTAAATACTGGCCAACCCTGCACATTACAAATCATACAATATAGGTGAAAAACTAAATATTTTCAACACATTGACAATTATAACTGTTTTTCATACACATAAATCCTGTCCCAACATAGATGTAATTCACAAAGATGAGCTACTCAAGTCATTGTAGCATTTGTATAAGATATTCCCTGAAAGATAGCAGAAGTTCAAATACGTTTTAAATAATTTCTCAAAACTGAATGTGTAAATGTTTATAGAATGTCAAATGAAAGAAACGAATAAAGAAATATGAATATACAGCTTCTGACTAATGAAGCACACAAATGTCGGGAATTACGTCCGCAAAATGCAGTAAGTTTTGACCTTACATGAAGATTATTTTCGATAAACACATTTCATTGAGAAAAAGAATTATATTTTTACAATTGTAGTAGTAGGACGACGCCCAAGACTAAGCACAGTAAATTGGGAGCAGGCTGCTACGTTTCCCACAAAATTACTGAAAAAATACTGATATTTTTGAAAACTTCAACATCACCTTATTTGAAGATGTTATTTATGAACATACTTCATTACGAAAAAAATATTCATAATTGTAGTTGTAAGACGCTGAAAAAAATTGAATTCATATAAATTTTCGAAAAATCGAAGTTTTCAACCATCATGACACCTACACTTCTCTTAAACATCTTTCAGACTATCTACCAACGTAATTCCATAAAAAACGGCTGACTCGTTTGTGAAAAATTTGTTTCATTAAAATGGGCTATACTTCACGCAAAATTACAAAAAAATACACATTTTCGAAAAATTGTACATGACTTTACTTCAAAATCTAATTGCAAGGAACAGATTTTATTAAGAAAAAATCTGTTTCTTTAATATTTGAGTTCTAGGAGAGACAAAAAAATTGTATTTTTGCAAATTTCGAGAGAACAGAGTTTTCAATGAAAGTGAGACTTCAACCGTTCTCTTAAACCTCCTTTACACTATCAAACAACAAAATTTAACCAAATTCGAAGACACCATTATTTGAAAAATGTTCAAAATGTACCAAAATTTTGGAATTGTAAAGTCTCCCACATTAAAATATCAGTCTCAAATTTTACAGGCCGCGCCGTAAGCCAGACCTATTGGAAAATATCAATTTTGGAGAAAATCTGCTAGCGATGTTCACAAACGAACGGACCGACCGACAGACGAACGGACCAACCCACGGACGCACGGACGGACGGGCGGACCAACCGATGCCTAAAATCCATTTTTTCTACCTTCCTCAATCTCCCCTACACCTAATATAGAAAAATCCGCCTTAGAATGATATAAATGCCAGTTCGCTAAACAAGTGAACATCACATGAAATTCGTAGAAGTATCCCATTAACCTCCCATTAAGACATGCCTTCTCATGGTTCACACCTGTATAATTATGAAAAAAAAAAAAAAAAAGATTGATAAAACGCAAATCACGTTCTCGATCACAGCTTGCCACTTTACCGCACGGGAACAGGAAACTCGTGCGCAACATGTTTGACATTCAAGACTCGGTTTTGAAATAAACATTAAACCTATCGCAAAAAAAGTAAATTCAACGTAATGATTATAAAAAAAAAAAAGATTTTTTACAGGAGGGCACAGTAGCACTGCACTTCTTCATTTCAATTATTTCTCGTGGCGAACAAGGCATTTTCATCAGACAAGTACATCAGGAAAGAAGTGTGGACGATATTTACAAGTTAGCCAACTCGAAAGGAACGAATTAAGGAAGAAGAGTCAAATGAGCTGAAGGATAAGACCACAGAACTTTCAGTTACGTTGCCAACACTAGCTGTCAAAATGGTCCATTCTTATAAAAATTGTTCTATAGTAGAATTGAAATAAGACTTTAATAATATTGATGTATAACATTAACATGATGTACAATATTTGAAAATTTTAGAAGTTTTGTATAATTTAGAATTAAAGATAAGCAACTTTAAAAAATACTAAAAACAAGATTTCTCAAAAAAAGTTTTTTTCTTTAAACTTTTTGAATGGACAAAACCAAATGCACAGTGTAACATGACAGAAACTCCTTTTAGTTGTACATTGGGGTTCTTCAAATATCACACAAATGTAATATTTTTATACTTCTCCCCCATTCTTAATATTTACATAATCAGTGATATGTTTACAATATTGTGTTAGTGAGTACAAGTGTTTCAAAAACATTTCCTTGAAAATGAACTCAAAACTTTACATTTTGGGAAACTCTCAAACACGATTTTCTCCAAAACTGCTCCGAATATTTTCTTAATTGAATAGTTTATTTCTGAAACCCGTCAAATACCAAATTTCCTACTTTGAGAAAAATGAGAAAAAGCCTCCAAAAATATATGATTTCAAAATATGTTTATTTATTAAAGCAGTTGATAAATGAATATTTTTCATATAAACATACACTAAATGATGTGTCTATCCTCTTGGAACAATAATCTGCCACTAATTTGTTATAGATTTTGGCATTTGACAGGTTTCTGAAATAAACGATTCAATTTTTTTTAATAGATAGTGCTAAATGAACTTCATGACATGACATCAATGCCACTTTTAATATATTCTTTTGTTTTATCAAAAATTAAATAAATGTAATCTTTTTTAATATCTAACATTGTTAGTATATAAATTATTGCATTTTTTAGTGTTTCACATTGAAAACTCAACAGTTTTCTGTGAAAATGACATCAAAATTGCACATTTTCAGAAACATCCAAAGATCATTTTCACAAAAACTGCTCCAAATTTTTCAATGAAAATATCAAAATACGGCAAGGTTTTACTCTTCTATAATATTTTTAAAGTCATATTCTACTTCTACCACTAGGGAACCAAAAAAGCTAACCCAAATTAAAAAAACTATTAGGAGAAAGTCTGTGCCATTCTGGATCACCACTACGTTTTATTGAAATATGTTCTTCAATGCTGGAGCTTTAAAAAATGACAAGTAGAACTTTTTAACTTAAAAGTAATTTGCTTGTCATATTGAGTAATGTTGTGACATTTAAAAAAATACATTAACATGATTTTCCCACAAACACTTCCAAAGGTATTTGTACTATTTTTGCCAGGGTAGTTTGCTCTAAATTTTCAATAATATGAAAAATTCAATTTTCTTTCTGACATTGTTCTTATTGTAACCAGCTGGAAGGGTCTAGTAAAGTTCAAAACACTTGAGGCTATTACAATATTAGGCAATATTGCTTTACCCAGACAAAAATGAATTACAGTAATTTAAATATCACATGTACTACTGAAATTAAACATCACTATATAAAAATTAAGTGATAAAAAAGAAGAATACCCATTATTTTTGCAGCTGTAGAAGCACCAACAATAATAGATAAATTGGGTGCAATAAAAGCCATTCTACTCTCCACATACTCATAAATTTTTTGTTTGAAGTTGTTCAACTCTACAGCCATGTCACAGGCTTCATAAATATCTTCTTTTTCCGTTTCTGTTAATAATTGTCTGGAATATAAAAAATAGAAAACACTGAGAGGATATTTCACACTGGTTTCTATAGGTTTCATTCATTCCACTTCCTACATCTAACACAGAGAAATGGAATTCCTTGCAATTTCTGATACTTTCAACCTGCATTTGGAGTATGTCACCTGCCCTATTATTGGTGAATCATATACTAAGTTAATCAAAGTTTCAGTCAATTACAGTAAAGAATTAAATTTTTAATTACATTTTTTAAAAGAATTTAAAATAAGAAATATATATCAAAGTTAATCATTTAAACAAAAGAAAATATACTGCTTCTACCATAATGTATTTTCAATGCAACTTTTGTTCTCAAAAAGGTTGTGTATTATAGATAAATAGAAAAAATACACCTACCCTTGTGTGGTTGAAGCAGTGACAGACACAACCATAATGGTAGCCTGAGTAAGAATTTGCTGCAGTGCTTCATTATTTTTGGCTTTATCCAAGTCATTACCAAGCTCTTTTACTGTCATGACATATTCCAATGGTCCAACTACAAGTGACTCCAGTTCAGGAAAACGCTTAGAATACTTGTCCCTCACAAATCGATGAATAACACCTAAAGTCATCAAGATAAAAAATGTCTGTTCTAAATACAATTTAGTTAGCACAGAACTGAAATATGACACCTTACCTATTTCATTATCAATATCTACGGCTAAATTATTAGCTTCTACAATAAGTTGATATTCTGGATCTGACTCAACAGGACCAATTATGTCATCTGCTTGGCGAGTTTTTGTGCTGCATTTTTCAATTTGGTTAATAATAATTTTCAGTCTCTCAGAATCATGTAACTTGGCAATTTGACGAATTGATGTGATTTTAATGTCTGTAAAGAAAATAAATATGTATTAAATCTAACTTCAATACTTAAATATTCTGTGTGTATTAATTTTAAATTTTCTATCTGGAAATAAATTAACTAAACTTCACTTCACATATTCACCACCCTTCATGTATTCTTTAGTCACATACTCAACACCAGCATATGACTGTACATATTGCATGACTATACATTTGCATTTGCATTTGCAGCATATGACTGTACATTTGATGCATAGCTTTTTATTCTTCCTTCTTCTCAATAAAAACACTACGGGACATTCAATTTTTTCTATTTATCCAGATATTGAACAATTCAATCAATACCAAATAATTCTTTGTTCACTTCAAACAAATTAACTCTTACCTTAAATTTCTTTAGTTAAAGAATTTGTCACGTGAACTGATAAATATTACAAGGTGATGAAAAAACTTGCAAAAAGAATTTCCCTAACATTTCCAAATTTAGCAAACTTACCAAAAACAATTTTCCCAGACCATATATGTACTTTTATTCCATTAATGTGTTTAAAATCACTGCAAAAATTTATTTGACACTAATATTTATATGTATGGTATGAACTCCATTTACCAAGGCTACCCAACCAACAACCTTTGATTCCACAAACCTAGGCTGAATGGGAATGGTGTGAAAAACTGAGATTTCACCTTTGAACATGATTAAATGAGGGAGTAAGGTATGAGAAGCAAGGTAGGCCAAAGAAATTTCAATTTAAAAAATTGAAACTATTTTTCTTATACCCTTGTACATTAAAATAATTAACAGAGATGTCCATTTTGCCCTCAGTCTACCGAACTTCTGTTACTTAAATTGTTTATTTCAGAAACCTGCCAAATTCTTCATTTCAAGAAAAGTAAGAAAAAATGTCCTAGCAATGCACATACGGTTTTCCTAATTTCAAAATATTACAGTAGTTGCTAAACAGATATTTTTCACGCACAACATGCAAAATTTTGTCATAAAAGTATTCACAACCAACTACATAAGATCAGTTTGATTAAATCCGCTACATTTTTGTTGTAAATTAATCTATAACAAGAACTGTAAAATGTAGGTAAAACCTGTCCAATGGAATGTTGTAAGATAACCAAAATATTATTGAAGGGCTTTCGTACACTGAATAAACAAATTCATGTTTTCTGTGTACGTACTATTTTAGTTATTAATGTATATATAAATTAAATAACTTCCTCTTCTGAAGAATAAAACATCTGTCAGTAAATATGGAACAGGATTTATCTACAGCAAAATGAATGTAGCCTAAGTGAATCCATGAATGACTAAGTATTACTTTTCCAGGAGTTTGTTTGTATAAAAATTATTAGTAAGTAGAAATTTTGAAACAACCTTTTTGCTGTCTTGGAATACACTACGAGAGGTTTCATCGGTTTGTGTTAGTTTCCTGTTGAACTGAGCCCAACTTTTTTAAAAACTTAAGAATATCTTATGAACTAACTTGGTAAAGAGTAAAATGATTTGTTTTACTGGATGTCAGTATTAGATCCACATACTGTCATGGTGTGTAAATCCAATCAATTTGTCTCATTCGATCAACTTAAATACACCCAGAGTATCACAAGCTGAGAATAAATTACCATGAGCTAGGAAGTTATGGCTGGTAGTTGAAAAAAGCCCTCTGTCAGAGATTTGTAAAAAATCAAAACAGAATGGTTTTCGTTTCGTCCTGACCACCCATCACTGAAGATCATCAGAAGTTTTACTGTATTCGTGTACAGTAAACACTTCAGTGATGGTATTTGTCTTCAAATAATTTAGCAAAAATAATATATACTTTGTCTGGCAATTTATTAACTTCACCCTCATGATAAAGATAAATTTTGAACATATTGTTTTTCATAATGTGGATGCAATTGGTGCATATAAAAAAAAATTCTTCGACAAGAATGCATGGTAATGGAAAATTCTCAATATAGTTTGGATTACAGTAGTAATAAACACTATTGTAATTATTAGTTTATTTATTAGAGTAAATAGTTATTCATATGGTTATTCACGCTAATGGGCCACTGCAGGGTTAAAAGAAAATTTCTATTGGAAATGGCAGGGGACAGGTAGTATCCAAGTAGTTTCCTGAGCAGTTTTCTACAAAATGAAATCTTTTGGAACTTTCTATCTCTTTTCAGAGATTTCGCTCTTCTGGGGACCGCCTCCTCCATAGCATGGGCAGTCAGATAAGGAATGTAACTTGAAATATATGAAAAATTAAATTAAAGAAACAAATATAATTCCGCAATAAAATTAAAGTTACCATTTTATTTTCTGTGCAGTTAAATCTCAAAGCTTAGCAATTTTATAATATTTACTTGCACACAATGCTATGTGTATATTTCTGTAACACATGGTTCATGGGTTGGCCTTTTAAGTTAAGGTCCAGGGTGTTCTTTCACTTTTAAAACATTGATTTACAAAGTGTGAAATGTTCTCAAGTTCAGTTAGTATAGTTAATAAATCTTTAATAATGTTAAGATTTAACAAGACACAAATAAGCAAATTTAATGAAATGAAGGCTACAACTGCATTATTTAATATAGTGGACAAGTCTATTTTCATGTTTTGCTCAATAGTACTGTTGATTTGTCAAAGGAAAGAAAGAAAAAGTGTAACCAGTTTTCTCTCAAAATTGCCATGCAAAGTAAGAATACAAAATCGCTGAAAACCTCCATTTTTCCAGGTCTGTCATCAACTTGCACTGTAAGGGGTTGCCCATAAATTACAAAACGCTAAAGTGGGAGCGAGGGGATTTTAGGCAGCATTACACTGCATTACATGGGGGGTGGGGTATTTGATTGGTGTTGCGTAACAAATTTTTTTACATTGGTTGAAATACTTTATTTTTTAAGCTCTTACACTAAAATATCATCTAAATAATGTTTTAAAATATAATTTAAATGTATTAAAAGCTGTTACAATAAAAGGAAATACTTATTCATCAAAATTTTATTGAATCTGTCAGATTACAAAGAAAATATTCAAAACTGCTCTGTAGTATTTTCTAGAATACAATTAAATTATGGTAGAAGACTTGTCAATGCGCCATCTACAACAGTAGCATGGCTTGTGATCAGAAATTTTCTCGCCTATGCGTCCTTCCTTCACTCAATTCTTGCCTTCAATCTTATTGTTAGCTGCAGTCAGCATCGAGAAGTAATTCAAACTTTTATCATAAACTTTAAACTACAACACAAAAAATGTATTTACTGTGTTATAATTTATTTTCACTTCTCGCATTTAAAAAGGGGGTGTTGTCACTGGCATTATGTAATTATTTAGGGGGTTTAGGCACATGTTATGGTTGCATTACAGAAAGGAGGGGTATTCAAAACATTCCAAATTTGCGTTTTGTAATTTATGGATGACCCCAAATAAGCTTACCAACTTCCATTGGCAGATAAGATGACACAGGAGCGGCAGATGTTTCAGGTAACCTATTTTCCATATACTGATCATCAAATCCATCATGGTCTTCAAGATCTGCTAACAATTCATCCGCCAAAGACATTATTAATTTTTTCTCTCGCTCAGAAAAATACGCCTATTCACCTAACTTTCAAACAATTTCCTGATTTCACATCCAACTGCAAACAGCAGTGTGATTTACGCCAGATACCTGTTAAAATAATTGTATTAGTACATACGTTACAGCCCTTTACACGAAAACATTAGTCATACTTAAAATAAACTGCAAGGGCAACTGAACAGTAAGAATTTTATTGACAGTTACAACCATAAGCAAATTCGAGCGCAACTGTCAACAATTTATCTTTCGTTTCACAACTTAATTCGAACGAACGAGCATCTACTCTTGAGTACTATTACCAGCTATCACAGATGCTGCTTGCTGATTTTCATTAAAATGATACACCACTTTTACACTGCGGCTCCGATCGTAATTCGTAACTGCGGTTAGGTTCTGCAGTCAAATAATCATCCACAAGGAGTACAAGGACCAAGGATTATCAATAAAAATATATTTTCTCCGTGGATTTCAAAGAGTCACGTTATCAACAGCTGGTGCCAATAGTACAAATGTTCATCTTTTATTTACATGGTCTTCAAAAATACAAAACGAACAATGAAATATATTATTGAAAACACTGTTACGTACATTTTCATGTACTTATTCTTCTAACAAAAACAAAATGAAATAAATCCATACAATGCTGCACCCTGTGCCAAATGCACAGAAGTCGGTTAATCGTGAACAAGAACCAACGTGCATGCGAAAAGAAAGAAAAAAAATAACCTCTCCAAAGAATAATTTTATTAAGATCAACGACGACGATTGTTACGAAGTTGTTAGTATGTAATACATCTGTTACATCTGCGTTACGAAAAACACATAGGTTACATCCTTTGGTGTTCTGTGGGTTACACCAAAAGAGTATATAGAGTTACACGATAGATGAATATATTCTTCCAAAACTAAATGACGTACTTCTTCCAGAGTTATGAGATGTTATTCTTTGGATACCATGGAACGTCTATTCTTTCATGACATGCCGTGACCATTAACTCAAAGATTATTCAAAATTGAACACACGTGCTCTTGCAGGATTTTCACATTGGAAGCTTCAGGGCGTTGGTATTGCGTGTGGGGCCTTATTGGTTGGTTAAAGTGTTCCCACTCCTTTGGAGACTAATTATTTCCCTTTTGTGATTTTCCTACAAACATTTTGTAAAGGAGGCAGAGATTTTCTTTCAACTCCAACGAATCAGCTGCTACCAGGCTGTAACAAACAATGGGTGATCGACGTGAAGTTATAGTAACCAGTGATACTTCTGGTGTATTATGGACTGTGTGCATGTGGGATTCACAAACAGGAACAGCGCTTATGAATTATAAGGGCGGTGGAACTACCAATATGCACTGTCTGTCATTTGTAGGTAATGATTACCTTTTGTGTGCAGAAAAGTTGAAGCCCCTTATCCATGTTTGGCCTTTAAATAGTCAAGAGGTATCCAAGAGCATTGAACGCATTGTAACTCCAGGATGTGTGTCTGCACTGTGTGTGTCCCCAACTAATGAATATTGTGTCATTGCCATTTCTGAAAATATATATATTTGGGATTTATTGAGAGGTCAATTGTTGCATGTTACTACAAGGCATTTTCGTGCAATTTCATGTGTGAAATTTACTGACGATGGATCTCATTTTATATCAGGTGGGCAAGATGGCATGGTCATTGTCTGGCCATTAGCATATCTTGTATCATGTAATGCAAGTGAACTACTGCCATTAATGGAAGCTGGTCAACCTGAGCCAAGATATACATTTTCAGATCACTCATTGCCTGTTACAGATTTATATGTTGGACATGGTGGTTGTCAAGCATTAATAGCATCAGTATCAGGTGACCACACGTGTAAAATATATAGCATCTCAGATGGAATTCTTCTTTTATCTGTGGTATTTAATTGTGCTTTATCTGCTGTTACAATGAGTGTTAATGAATTGGAAGTTTTTGTTGGCACAGTTAGTGGTGAAATTTATAGTTTTGACATGCAACGTATGCCTCGTACTCAAGATTATCATGTGACCAAAGAAGAAATGTCTAAGAAGTATATAGGACATACAAAATCTGTAACAAGTCTTTCAACATCTTTGGATGGGTTTCGTCTTGTGTCTGGATCTGCAGATGAAAAAGTTATTATATGGGATATTAAGAGTAAACAGTGCATGAAAATATTGCAACACAAAGGTCCAGTGAGTAATGCATTATTTGCATTACATGCAAATCAGATCTCCTCAAGTAATTTCAAACCATCAACCGTTATTCGTAGTTTTAAGAAAGGAACTGAAGGAACAGAATGCATCAGATATATTAGAAAAGATGGTTTTATGGAGAAAGAAATACAACCTACAAGTATTATTAAAAATATGTCAGAAATGGTGCAAGCTGATCAGTCACATTTTCAAGATGAACTTGAAATTGATATAATACAACTGAAAGAAATCAACAATAAACTGTACAAATTTGCTGTCAACAAATTACTAACTAATACGTAATTTGCTGTCAACAAATTACTAACTAATACGTCAAGGATGTAATTTCACTGGTTTTTAATGATTTTTTTTAATACTTTTTTTTTTATTGTTGCACTTAAATCGTTAGTTCTGACCTTGAAACACAGTGTATATTTTTTTGCCTGTCAAATGTTTCATAGAATTCTCTTGCATAGAAAAGTGAGTTTTTAGTTATTATAGATTGTTAATAAGTTGAATGTTAGCTTATTTTACTCATCCAGATACATATGCTCTCATTACATGAAATATATACTGTGTATCCAAATATGCAAAATTGAAAAGGTATTGCTCTTGAAAAATGTTTATTTACATTATTTGAAAGATACGTTTGACAGTTAAATTACTATACTCCATTTTGTTTTTTATTAAGCTCATCTTGTGAAGTATTCACTACTGTAATAAATGTAAGAGATTGTAATAAATCGAAAAATGTTAATAGAAAATGTAACCTCATTTTTCTCTTAAAACTATTATTCTTTGAATGCATCACTTCATTATGAATGACAGAAATTCTATTAAAATAAATGAAATACCAAAAAGACATTAAATGTTGTTGCAAGAAACTAAATGAATTTTAGTTGTTGTGTCTTGTGTAACACGAGTATGTTATAATTGCAATTGTGTTCCAGTGTTAATGTTCAAACACTAGTCGTACAGGAGGTAAAGTAATGGTTACTGTTGATTTAATATAATATCAAGGAATGGTGGAAACTAACCATTAAAGAACAGTTTCAACGATGTATACAATTACTGAGTGGTGGAAAAGAAGCTTTTTTTAAATAATTCTTTGTAACTATAAAGGAATTTTTAGATCTTGATCAAACATTGTTCAATAGAGTGGCTTAATCATCACACTTAAACAGATTAAAATTTAAGTAGGGTTTAAACAACTTCCATAAGTTGTACCGTGTACTAGACTTCAGCTTTTCAATCTCGCATAGGAGGGGGGGGGGGGTAGCACTAAAACTGTGAAGCAATTAGGATAACTAAAGATTATAAATCTTCAATTGATTTCATAATAACTGACAAAATAAAGTGAAAAGTATTTCATGCAGCAAGAATATTAGATTATACATTATATGGGTAAGAAAAGTGCCAAACGCATATTTGTTATCACAAATTAAGGGAACAGTTGTTCAAAGTGATACTGTTTAGTAGTTTTTTATTATTATTCAAAGAAGTAGGCACTGATGTGAAGCAAGGGAAAGATATAAAAAAAAGTGTAGAAATAACTTAATTGTAGGAGGGTAGCAAAAATAAATGTATGAAATTAAGGAAAAACAAATTAAATATATAGTATTTGGTGATGAATCTGTATTTTAACAAAGGTGCCACAACAATTGACTAAATTATTTTGGTAGCAGTATTGAAGGAATTATCGGAAAACATCCCTATTCTAAGTGGTGAGAAAGGTCAAATTGTTAATCTGAAAGTTTTTCATGACTTTTTTTTTTGAAAGAAACTGGAACAATTGTTGAAAGAACTAATGGACCAGATGGAATAAGTAATAAACAGTAATATGAAACTTTCCCAAAGAAAGATACTGAAAACATTTTGGTTATTCTTGTAAAAGATAATGCAAAATACAGTGATTTTAAACCAATGACTACATTTCTAGTAACTGAAAAAATCATGGAGAATATTGATGAAAGAGAATTGATGATACATTAATTTTTCTATATAGTAATAATGCACAAGATGTGATAAATAGAATTATATTTACTTAGTGAAAGGTTCGGCAAGAATTTTTTTAACCCAGATATTGCCACTGTCCTTTTAAAAGGGCACAGAATAATTGTTAAGCATTTAAGAATTATTTCAAATTCATTTTGAACTTTAGCTTTACTGTAGGTTACAGTGAAAGATTATAGAAGAAGTTTAGAATCCCGTTACTATTGTTTGAGATCTGATACGCTTTGAATTCTGAGAAATAATTCGAGATAAGCACTACGGAAAAATAAAGGTAAATTCTCATTGTTGTAGTAGATTATAGTTGAATTGAAACAAATGAAATTGATTCAAAACAGCCTCAATATTGTACTGTGGTTAGTATTGTTGTGGTTGGTTAACATTTGCAACACACAGTTTCAGTTATTGATAAAACACTTTGCGTGTACTTTATAAAGGACAGTGGACAAATATGATATGGTTTGGTGCAATATTTCTTCTTACGGATACTGGAGAAAACCTTCAACTCTGCATGAACCTTTATAAGAAGTAGACAGTACAAACAGTGATACAGTTGTCCGGGAAAACTTTGATTTTATCTTTGCACCTGACGATGCTAATGACAATAATACTGATGATTGCAGAGAAAAGGCAAATGACACCATCCGAAACTTCCTTATACCTTAAGGTTGAGGCAGAAGTTTTTAGAATACAAATGAATACATTGTAAATTCAGGGGATGGTCATGACAAACATGCCTTTTTTTGAACTGATGCGAAAAGAAAGAGGAAAGGGTTATCAACACTAAATCTAGCGAAGCAGAAAATTTGCTTCGGAAAGGCATACATTTGCCATCACGTAAAATATTATAGAACCTAAAAATCAGTTATCTCCTGCAGCCATCTTTTTGTTTATTGATCTGCTAGTGGACTTTCCTAATAGAGATTCTGCTTCTCATAATTGGGAAGGTGATATTCAACATAACATAATGAAATGTTTTCGCCATACTTCTATTGAGTGACTGTGTGTGTGTGTCTAGGCATGAGATGTAGAGGGAAAATGCTCCTGATTCCACAATCTTTTGATTTGCAATGCACTGTCCAGGAATTGTTATAATTAGGGTGATATGGCATGAAACAATTCATAAAGGGTAAGCCCATTAGATGGAGTTATAAATTATGGACTGGCACCACACAGAACGGTGTGATCCTTACCAAGGTGTTTCTCTTATCTTTACAGTACCACAAATCTTGGTTGTACAAAAAAATTGTAACGGAAGTGTTGCATTACAATTTGTATAAGTGCATCAATCAAACTTTGTAGATTTACCGTATCTCATTTACTTCTCTATATCTACTTGAGGCAATGACATCAAAAAATTGTAAGGGGACAGGAACCATACAAGAAAACATGATTGGTAGAAACTGCCCTCTAATTCAGTCACTGATCTAAAAAAAGAAGAAAGATGGTCCTACGATTATGTGTCATAAGAAGATTAAAAAAATGTTCCATACATGAGGCAGAACAAATGTCATTTCATTTGCATCCATTGGCAATCAAGTTTTGCCCACATTTCAGGAAAAGCGGTTATCTCAATAAGTAAAGAACATAAATGTTTAACAACTAAATATTGTAAAGAATTATAATAAACATATGGAAGGCATCTTTACGTGGAAGAAGTGTTTTTTTCCGTCATTGTGTTAAGACTAAATGCTTAGAAATTCTAAAGATATGACCAAGGTAAAATAAATCACCTGTCCTTTAGGGGGGTGGTCGCTGTGCAATTTAGAAACATTCAAAAAAAGGCCTAGCAGATCTGCAATTCTATACAAATTCGAGACGAACAAAAGCAATGTGATCAATGTTCCAAGAAGTATAACTTCATGTTCCACAGCCCAGCATCCAAAACATTGTTTTGTAACTTACCACAGAGCATAAATAACACATTGTCTTTGAAATTATTTACTATATTTTTTCTCTTTATCAATTTATACCTTTTATATTTTTTGTTCGTTATCAATTGATAGCATTTTCTTTTACTTTTGCGTACACATTGCTACCAACCTTTTAAAAGTTTCACACATGTTTCTGAAGATTGTATTATTGATATAACATTTTTATAAAAGGAAAAAGGATTTTTCATTTGTTATAACATATCCTCAAATTGCAAACAGTAAAAGATTAGAGAAAGAATGAAGACGCTATTAAAAAAATACCAATGATAATTATGTTCTTCCAAGAAATATGATTAGAGCTAGTGCATTGATGTAAGCAAAGGCAAAGAATTTAAAGCAACAGTAGGTCAGTGCAATCATTTCACAAATAAAAGAAATTTGGTTATAAGACAAAACAAAAATTGGACAGAAATTACAAGATCTTTATCATAAAGTTGCCCATATAATGAACTTGTAAACAATGAAAGTGAGGTTCAGGAACTATTTGCCTTAGATGGATGTAATAATTTTCTTAAACTGTTCTAAAAGTTCAACATTTTTTGAGGTCTTTTTATGATTCATCAATCATCTTACCTGCTGAAAAATATGGTAGTGTTCACATGAAAAATCTGTGCACTTAACATTGTTAAAACTCTTTCATTTTAATGATATAAGTGCCCATCTCTTACAAGCACATCACAAATCACTTGTGTTCAACTTCCACAAAGCACGTTTAAGTACCAATAATGGAATATACAAAGATGGAGAAAACTTATTTTGTAAGGTGTGTATGAAATATAATAGGGTGGGATTAATAGATAAAGCCAACTAAACTAGATAATAAACATGAATAATACAGGTGAGAATAAAAATTTCAATATCTGTATGTTTGATAACCAAACAAGCATCCTATAATGTATAACATAATTGCTTCGTAATACATATTACAACTATGGAGGATTTTTTAGCCTTGGATTATTGTGATTGTTACGAATATTCTGCAACATTCTATGGGGAATAATGGATGATTAATAGATACTGAAAATGTAAATTACCTTCAGGAATTGATTAAAAATACTGAAAATATACACATTATAAAGGAAGAATTTCCCCACGAATCTCCGAAGATAGAAAAGTGAGAGATTCTTATTAACATTATATTCAAACTAGCATGTGGTGGAACTAAGCATTACACAACTGTACATGCAAAATATTTACATTAATGTGAATAGATACTATCAGTCTATACAAAACTGCCAGAAGCAGACTGCAAGTTTGAGAGCAATAAAAAATTGTAAATATAAATACTACTGGTAAAATGTTTCGTGTATGCTCATGTTATTACAAAAATTAAGAAATATATTTCTGAATTGGAAGGTAATTCATTTTATTTTCATTTATTTCATTAACATTCTTAAAACTTCAGATTCAGAATCAATCACTCTGATGATAATTGTCCAGGTTTCTTTAAAATAGGTGGAGAAGGAGGGTCTGGTGGTATTATACCTGTTGTCATACAGTAATACATAACTGAAGAATCTTGTTCTTTGAAAGCCATTGTGATTCTGAGAACAATATCAATAATCAAAAACATAAAAATATAATAAACTGAAAAAAGAAGAAGAAAAAAAGATTCAGCTTAATTGCTTACCGAGGTCCCTCTCTATCTTGGCAGATTGCTTGCTGTAGTGTCTCAATCCAACTCATACTAAGAAACGATGCAGAAGATAGAGGAATAAATATCTCGGAACCATTAGGAAATTCATCTCCCTTCCCAACAAAATAAATAATATCCAGCTCTTTATTGTACCTGCTTTCAACTTGCAATTTTCGAACTGAAATTCAAAGCAACCATTTACTTAAGAATTAATGCAAGATTGGTTCTCATTACTTATTAAAAATAAAGAATTAATGCATCAAAGAAATTTTATAATTTGCTTTTATGTATTAAAATAATAGTATTCATTTTAATACAGACATGCATTACCTTCACTCAAATCTAGGTAAACTTGATAGGCAATTGCTAACTTGAATTGACTGTTGCATCCCAACTCCTGCAACTTCTTCAGCTGTAAGAAAAAAATTGCAAAGGCTTAGTTTCGGTTAATACTATAATCTCCACCCCGACCAGGTACTCGATCATACAATGGGATCTTTTTCCTTTGGCATGGCATAACTCGTTTCTCACGGCAAATGTAATGAAGGTACATTGAGGCTAACTTTTCTTTCTTGAAGCCTTCTATCTTTCGTACATCTTTCATACTACCAGCGCGTCCCTTGACATTGTCAAGTTGACATACAATCAGAGAGAATACAATTGCACAGCCTTGCCATCGCCCGTCGTGCAATGAAAATAACAAATGAAGTGCAGTGGCTAGGAAATTCCCAATTCACGGATTTTCGAAACATAGCAGATCATTTTCGGTCTTCAAAGTAATTTATTGTCTTATCATGTATCTGTTGTTTGGTATACAAGTAAACAAAATGCAATCCAGTTACAGAAATATCGAAAGATCTCCTTAAAAAAATTCTTGTTCGATGTTGGCAATAGGGAGTTTGTGAACTCTCAAACGTTGAAGCACTATAGATCTATTCATGAGCAGTTCACATTTTGGGTAACTTAAGTGGATGTGCGCATGCGCATTAGATCGATTAGAGTGCTGCCACTGTGGCGTGCACAAACTTCCTCTTAGTATGGACTCACTTCTGGGCTATGGAATTTGCAGTTCACTTATAGTGAATTTCACAACCATCCCCGTCTTATCCAAGGTTATAACTTCCTTGGTCTGATCCCACCGGTCGGCAGCTCGTACTCTTTGATATTATATACGCGATACGATACGCATTATCATTCTCTGTTCTTCACTGATCATTCAATTCCAGAGAGTATCAATTCTCTCGCGATTGGGACACGCTTGTTTGTAGGTTATGTTCGTCGTGTGCGGTAAAAAAGAACACTGATCTTGCAGTGATAGAATCTGGAATTGGAACTTGTGAACGTCATTTGGAAAGTTAACAAGAAACCGTGGATAAATTCTTTACTGTAGTCTTGATACTAAAAAGATTTTTAAAACAGCCAAAATATTTCTCATTATTGGTAGTAAGGAAATATTTTGTGACGTAGAGTAAATCATTCGTTTCAACAGATTCGAAGCTGCTGTTAATCATACCAGCAAATTAATGCCCATACGCTTCTACAATGTTTAAAAAGTAAGACATTTTTGAGAAATGTATACAAACTCATTCATTGAATGCAATAGTCACGAAGGGAAAAGTCATTATAATGTTATTCATAACATTGACAGTTTTAATTACACGAGTGCTGTATTAGAATTAATATAATGAAAATCTGTCCTGTGTAATTCAAACATAATTTTCTGCATTAGACGAATGTATAAATTGCTGTACTAATTTTGGTGAGCTGATTTAGTTGTTTCATCTAATGAGGGATGTATTCTTTCCCTCAATATTGCAAGTTATGTGCAGCTGTTTGTCAGGTTATTGTCAAAGATCATTTGTAAAAGAAATGTTGAATAATAGAAACCAAGAATTGCAGAAAATAATGTTTACTTGAAAGGAAAAGTGGGTCATGCTGCTGTTCAAATTTTGTCATGTTAAATCTCGTAACATATTTAATTTGATTAATTGCGAGTCATAATTTGAAGATGATAAAATCATTGTTGCAGGTTTGAAGAAAAGGAAAGTGTTTCAGGAGTACAGCAGTTAAAGTCTTCAGTTCAAAAAGGAATTCGTTCTAAACTTCAGGAGCAGTATCCATATCTTGAAAATTATGTCGACAGCATACTGCCCAAAAAAGATGCGTACCGCATAGTGAAATGGTTAGTAAATTTACTATTATTTTTCAAGTACAGTTTTATTTCTCTATGGTAAACCCTTCTGGGGCTGAAAAAGTCGGCTGAAAAAAGATGTCTGCTATAGAGAGGTTCTTACAAAACAGAAGTATATGCCACAGAGCTAGAAAATAATCCACCTTTGTGTAGCATTTGTTCCAAGAGGTTTCTTTTATATATAAGTATACAAGAAGAACTTTATCTATAGTGCTAATTTCACTTCTTAATCATGAGTTTATATGACTTTGAATTTTAAAGATGTCCATTAAGTATTTGTCTCTTAAAAATGGTTGTATTAAATGTCATCTGTTGTAGCCATGATCATATTGAAATATTGGTAAATGGGTCGGGTGAACTACTGTTCTTCAGGCATAGAGAAGGTCCATGGATTCCTACTTTAAGATTGTTGCACAAATGTAAGTAAAAAAGATACAAAAACTTATAATACAATAATCATCATTGATATATATGTAAATGATTTCTTCATTTCTTAATATCTTTATTCCAGATCCATTCTTTCTACCTTGGGAACAAGTAGATAAAGGTGCTATTCGCTTCGTTCTTAGTGGTGCCAATATCATGTGTCCTGGCTTGACATCACCTGGTGCAAAAATGACCACTGTTCCAAAAGGAACTGTTGTTGTATCCTTTTCTGTTGAGTAGATTAGTAGGTGAATAATTCATCACAACTTTTGAACTTGAACTATTGGGGATTGGTTTCCTTCTGGAAGACAATATTTTCTAATGGAGTACAGAAAAATTAATTTGAGAAGTGTAAGATTAATAAAAGAACACATTGGCCTGATAGGGCCACTTTATCAGGTGACAAACTTGAAAATGGAGAAATGACAGGATTTATTAATATGCAATTGTTTAAAATTAAGAAGCCTTTATGGCACAGGGGGATGTTAATACACTGAAGGGGTGATTTTTTTCACACAAACCTAGATCAAAACTTAGCTCTCGTTCCATTGATGTTAATTGCTCTCAAGGTATTCAGAAAATGGTAAAATATATTTATGGATGAAGACAGAGTAGAATGAGTCATTTTTTATTTTCAAGTTCGTCACATGATGTGACTGCAACAAGCTATGAAATGTGTGCTAATTTAAACTATATGCTGATGGAATAAATTCAAAATATTACTTTTATTTTTAATACAGACGGAAACCATCACCTTAGTTTTGTATTACTACAACTTTCCAACTTGTATGAATTAAAAATGCATTATATCAGTCAATATTAAGATATGTCAGTTAGATTATGAAACAAAGAATCTCTTCTAGTGTAATCATTCAACAGTTAAAGACTTGTTTTGAATTGAATGGAAAATGGTCCTGTTTTTAGTAGCTTGTAATGAAAACTTTGTCAGGTTTTTTCTCTCCTGAAAAGTTGCAATTTTTGAGAAGTTTTGTTAAAATGTAGCCGTCAAAATGGCTAATTCTTTAAATGTCTACATTACTTGATATATATGCCAATAGTAATTGTCAGTTATCAACCACAGGAAAAGAGTTATTTACTTGTGGGAGGGAAGAAAACAATAATTAAATATTTAATTGCTCAATGAATAGATGCAAAATAGCAAGTATAAACATAATTGTTCATATGGACCTTTATTAGTAATGTAGGCTGTGATGGCAGAAGGAAAACAGCATGCATTAGCTGTTGGTGTAACTTCATTATCAACTGAAGATATGTAAGTACTAATGTTAGTTTTGTAATAAAGTCGTACAAAATGGCTGTGACATGAATTCTTTCTATATATATTTTTTTTTTTTTTACAGAGCGAAAATTAATAAAGGAGTGGGAATTGAAAACTATCATTATCTTAATGATGGTTTGTGGCAAATGAAGCCAGTTAAGTAATGATAATGCCAAAAGAAGACGGTTAAACAAAAAGGGCAGGTTGTTGACGGAAAAATCTTGCAAATAAGTTACATTATTTGCTTTGCATTTCATTCAAAAGAAGTACATGTTGTAAGCTTGTCTTGGTTTATCACTATTACCATTGGAAATATCTGTTGAACAATTTTAGCATAAAACAATTCAGCTAACAAACTTTTGTGTAGATCTGAATTTCAATTGCAAGCTTCCATGCACATTTAAACTACAATAACGTTGGAGTAAATATTTTTATGTATTCTTTCAGTTAATTTATGCAGGAAAATAAACTTCAACATAAATAAAATCCTTTGATCAATTTTTAACACTAGAAAAATCAATACCATTTTTCATGTTTTGTCAAATGTTTATCCCACAGGTATTTATCCACAATCCTAATTTCCTTGATTTTCTTTTGTTAGTTGAGAATGCTAGTGGCCTCAGATACTGTCACCCAGAAATGTAATGATAATTTTACCCCTATTTTAGTTATCGTACCCACTCCTGTGATATGCCATTAAATAATCAGATATGGTTTTACTATTGGGACTATTCTTTTACTTTTGGAATTGCTTCCACAATCCAATCTCGAATTTTCAGTAGTTAAATCCATGTGTAAGATGCCTTTCAGCTATAACTTCATACAATTCATCAGAAGTAATGTCTATTAGTGTTGCCAGAGATGGTTGAATAATACAGGTGACAAGGAGATAATGTCCATGTGTCAGAATACATGAAATATTAAATATAATTTCATCTTACCCAGAAATACAATAACGTTTGCAAATAAGGATTCTTATATTATAAGAGTTTGCATGTAAGCAAAGCAGGGTAATAATAGCAAGGGAAAGGAATATATCTCTTTTACAAAATTGCAGGATCTCAAAATTATTAATACTATGCATGTAATGAGAATTTTAAAAATAAATAAACAGCAATAGTTTAGAAATGTCTTGTTGGATTTTTAGCAAAACTACTCGTAATGAAAAGTAAAATTGCACATTGAGTCTCAAATTTTAGACAGTTGTAGATTTTTGTGGAAATAAGTAAATAATATTTTTTATTGCCACTTTGAAAATGAAGAGATAACCAAGAAGTGGCAAATGAAATGTACCAGTTAGAATAATTTCCATTATATTGAATTTTTAAAAAATTAATTAAAGTACATTTGTGATGGTTTTAATTGCCACCAAAAATTAAAAGTTTGAATTATTATTGGTTATGTCGTCAATTGAAAATATTAAATTCAAATAAAATACTTATTGTAATGTATCTGAGAAGATGTATTGTATCGTAAATCACTGATATAAAGTAGAAAAATCAATAGATATTATTTACATGTTAGGGAACCCAGCGCATTGCACCCATCTTAGCGTTGATACCAATCTATGAACAAGTACTGCCGTTGTGCACTATGCAATGCATGCAATGATTACCAACTTCGGGAAGCTTACATCAACTATTATAGAGTATAGTATTTGCTTACACTTGTATTTACATGAAAACAACTTAACCTAACGTTATCGTCTCTAACCTAAAGAAAACGAAGGCAAATTTTACAGGGTTATTAAACAGAGTTAAAAATTTATTTAGAAAAATCATAAGCTTCAAAAAACAATTTTTCAATCTTCAACCGGAAACAGGAATGGATCTCTATCCATCTTTTTGCCACAAATATTCCATGAGATGGCTGTAGCGTCGCCTGATGTTTAAATGTATATCCCAGCACCAACCTTCAAAAACCCTGGTACTTTCGCAAAAATTCCTTGGTAATTGATTTAAATTTTGAAATTGTTTTTATTATAATTTTATTGTGTTTTATCGCGGACAGGAAGTTTGTTAAACTTAACTCGACACTCATTTTATATCAACAAACTAAATGGAAATCTAGGACGTCCAATACTTTTCTACAGCATTTGACAGAAAAATACGATTCCACGTTTCTCTTAATGTTTTTACGTAATTGTTTTCACCAATGTCATAGTTATTTGTAAAATTGGTGTTAATTTTTATTTCATAAATGAACAAATTTAGGAATTTCAAATCGTACATCATCAATTACCGTAGACTTAAAAGCCTGATATTTACTCCTGCTAGGATGTCTTCATCCTGATACGTGGTCACTAAAGTCCTAGTGAAGATACCTGGAACCTGGTATGTCTGGCAACACTAGATGACTGTCCAAATAAGTTTTGCATAAACATTGCCAACTGTTAAATTAGTAGTAGTCGGCTATGGCATAAACCATCCCGTGAGAGGCAATGACGTAATAAAAAAGGTGTACCATTGACTTTCAATAGTGTTTGTGGTAGCACCTATGGTAGTAATAATCACCATGGTAGCACCTGTAAATGGGTCCACAAAATTAAGAGAATGATTCACCGTCATGTGAACAAAATTATTTTGTAATAATAGTTGTTTGAGTTTGTACATGTTCAATCAGTAGCAAAACAATATTAGCATCCCTTACATTTCCAGGTCAAATCTGCAATCTAATTTCCGTGGTTTCGCGATCACTGAGGTCAGTCCTACGACCTCTATACTTGAGTTTCGAGGACTTGTCTTCACGATGGAATACCTCGAGGCAGATTTTACGAACTACAATCTTACGCCTCTCCAACAGAAGGCAGACTGCAAGGAAGAGTCTCTACAGAGGAGAGAATATCATTACTAGGGCAAGCATAATGTCTGTAATAGAATTATATATCCCACCACGAAGTTCAACTGAAGATACAATAGAGACTATTCTAAAAGCGATATTCAGGACAACGGAAGAATAGTAATTCTGATAGGAGATCTAAAGGGGCCGCCCATAAATTACGTAACGCTAATTTGGAGTATTTTGAATGCCCCCTCGCCCCCTATAACACGCGCTTGAAATGCCCCTAAATAATTACATAACCCCATGGTGTGGCATTCGTCGACCTGTCATCCGCCTACGACACCATCATTGTACGCAAGTTATTGGCCAATCCGAGATTTCAACTTTGTCCGTATTACAGAAGCCCTCCTGAGTAACAGGCGCTTTATGGTCTCCATGAATAACAAGAACAGCTGGTGGTGATCTTAAAAAATAGTCCTACCGTAGGGCAGCGCCCTGGCCCCCACACTCTTCAACATATATGCCTATGACCAGCCCATCAGCCGGAACTGCCGTTCCTTTATTTACGCCGACGATCTCGCTCTGGCATCCCAGTCAGACAATTTTGCAATGGTAGAAACAAAACATCACTGAAGCTTTAAACCAGCTTTCCTGCTACTATAAAGAAAACGATCTCAAGCTGAACCCGGCTAAAACTGAAGTATGCGCTTTCCATCTTCGTAACAAACAATCTTCAAGGAAACTCCAAGTACGTTGGTACAGCGATCTCTTTGCACACAACCCCGAGCCCCGGTACCTTGGAGTCGTTCTCGACAGGAGCCATACATACAAGAGACACTGTACTAACACCAAAATGAAAGTTGAAACCCGAAATCCTCAGAAGATTGAGTGTAACTGGGGAGTTGACCCCAGAGTCCTCCACCTATCCGCTCTGGCCCTCTGCTACTCTGCAGGTGAATATGGCTGCCTAGTTTGGCCCGCTCACATCAAGAAGGTTGACACCACCTTTTATCAATCCTGCCGCCATGTGACCGGCTGTCTCAAGCCCACATCCATTCCACAACTCTTTGTTCTTTCGACCATCGCCCCTCCGGCGGGAGATTTCCTGCAGAGCGGAAAGAAGTCGGCAGGTGAACGACAAACGCCACCCTCTGCATGGTCAATCTCCCGTCCACCGAAAGCTCCGTTCCCGCAAAAGTTTCTTTCATTCCAGTGCCCCTCTCCAGAAACCAACTGTGCAGGAAAGGCTTGACTTGTGGTTGGACGAATGTCGCCTGTCAGGCCACCTCATAAAACCCTCAGAGACCCTGCCTCGGGGTTCCGAGCAACCGTAGACCATACGGAGAACCCTAAACCGACTGCGTACGGGTGTTGGTATATGTAAATACAACTCGCAAAAATGGGGATTCTTGCCCCAGAATGACTCAGTGATGTGCTCCTGTGGTGCTGAAGAGACTATGGAAAATCTACTTTCCTACCCGGACTGCCATAATGGTATATCCAGAGATGAGCTGTCCCTAGGAAACCAGAGAGCCTTGGCTCTCTCTACTTACCTGCAAAACAGTCGTCGACTCGAAAGAAGAAGAAATTACAAGAAGTAAAAATAAATTATATTGCAATAAAAACAATTTGTATTAATTTTCCGCGTTATATTTGAGTATATTAAATGGACCGTCTGTATATTTATGTTTAGATATAGGTAGATATTTTTAGATGTACGTGTGTTATGAGACTTGGATACTCGGCTGTCCCGGATGAGCCTCGTCTCAGTCAATTGAGCTGACGTTTCGGCCATCGTGCCCCTTCTGCAGGGATATACTCCAGCAACATAGCTGTGAACAAGGCCAATGTATCCCGGACAGCCAAGTATCCAATGACTCTGGCACGGAAGCCTACGAACACAACGTTATGAGACTTCTTGTAGTACATGTTGATTTTTTCCATGAAGCAGCTAGTTTTGAAATTATTAACAATCATTTTAAAACATTTTGTTATGTGTTTTTTGTATAAAATATATTCCAAGGAAAGTTTTGGTGGCAAACTTCAGATTCTTAAATAGCGTCTCAAACATGAAAGTTGAAAAAAAGCATCCACAATTTCATTTAGAACAGCTCCTCCCAGCACATAATGAATGAAGTACAGCGGCTACGGCTAGAGCAGTGAGCCCTAGTGTAGAGATCTAAGAGCAGTTAGCCATTATGTTGAAATCACTGGGATACAGTTGTGTTCGGAATTAAAGAATCGACTTCGAGTTCTTTTTGAACTTAATTTTTTCCATGTTTTTTTTTATATACATTTTAGGTAAATTACGCAAAAAATTGTCAAACTTGAACAATCTATTACGTACAAACGGTGCGCGTAACAAAAAAAGTTGAAAGAAAGTAAATTGCATGAAATGTCGTGTTGAATATGTTGGTAACGAGAAATTTTACGTAAATCCGATAGTTTGTTAGATATAGGCAAAAAACGTGAGATACGTTATTTTTCATGTTGTTATAGCTGAAATTTGTTAGCAAAGTTGTAGTAAAATACACGTTACGTTTCAATGAAGAGAGTATATTCACCTACTAACTCGTACATTAAGATACAGGTAAAACACGTAATACACATAGAGAAGGTCGTAAATCAACGGGCATTGCTGAGCAACCCTGGGTCCACGGAGATTATATCGCCCTACAAGTACATACTATCGCGATTAGGATTCAACAAAATTACAACGGAATGTTTTTGGCAAACTTCAAATTCGTAATCAGTATCCCCAAAACCATAACGACGGTAAAAAACAAAACTACACCACAATTCGTTTTAGACCAGTTCTTTTGAGAACGTTGAGTATTCTGGGAGGAGTGTAACTGGGTGGGGATGGTTTTGGGTTGTTAAAAGATGTGATTTGCAAACTCGCTACCGAGTGCATGTTTCCCGGGTAGATTCAGTTTAACACCACGCCGGGCGAATTATTTTTGTGAGAAAGTTTAGCCAGTTTAGTTTAAAATTTGTCTCTCTCAGATGCTGTTCAATAGTTTGTGTGACTAATATATTCGCTGTGTTGGTTGTTGCACCGAAAGGGCAGAGTCGAGACTATAATGCTCGTGATTATTAGGGTGGACCGTTGTTTGTCAATATGTTGGTCAGGTATTAAGTGACCTTCCAAGTTAATGTCATTCTATTCTTCAATGATAACTTGATTTTTTGGAGGTGTCCAATTCACTGGTCACATAGGAAAACCTCTCGTTAGATTTAAAGACACCAGTGACAGGGAAATTGGATGGGATTCCCACTGAACAGGGAGGAGATTTGTCGTCCACGGCTATGTGCTAAAATTAGTACCTTTTTGGTGGGTTTAGTGGGAATGCCCTTGTTCGTTGGTTGGTTAGGTTGTTCAACTTTTGTTTTGTTTCTTTTCTAACTTTTCGGCATTGATTTACGGATGGACGTGTCGGTGATTGGAGAGGGTAGTAAGGACTGGGATGGAATGACACGCATTGCCACAATTTAATGCAGAAAATCTCTTTTCAGTCTTGATTGTGTTTTTTTTTTTCTTTTCTGGATGTGTTGATCTATTAGAGGTTCTGGGCGCGTCAACTGCTAAGGTCATTAGTTCCGTAAGAGTATTGCTTGCTTTCTCCTCGTTGATCTTCCACTGGATGGTAATATCTTGGGCTGTCCTACCGGCTCGCGGGGTTTTCCTCAACAAGGAATCTCCCACCATCACGGCTCTGCCCCAGCCAGGGCAAGAAGCTCCCGACCGGTCTCCTGGCACATGTGGTAGTGTAGTGCATGAAAGTGTATGTGTGTGTAAGGGGTGAGGATGGAACAAGGAAGAGGAAGGAATGATCGCGTGCGGTTCGTGGCCCGTTTGTTAGGGTAATGCTCCGACATTCGCCTGGTATTAATCGCTGTCTGGAGAAGAATTCTAGCGGGCGGCTGCTCTAATCGGTTGTTGGCAGGGACATCTTCGAGCCTTCAGATAAGTTGTGCTACTCTATTGTGTGTGAAGGCTTTGTGTGTGTGTGTCGAGTGTACAGTATCCCAGCCACGAATGCGTATCGAAGTGCATGGAAAAAATCAAAATAAATCAATGAAAACCTTGTCCAGTATAGAGCATTATTACCTATACAAATGTATTTCAGTGTATGAAATGTATTTAAGTACTCGCAAAAGCAACGGGTTTCTAATTAGTATCTAAATGAGATTGATTAATTGCTAAAAGAGTTTAACGTAATAGAGCTTAGCAGAAAACTAATAAATATAATTAGAATACTATAATTATTGCAAGCAAAATGTACATTTGTATGCGACAAGTAGAAGCACAAAGTTGAAATGTTTCTGTTTTATTTATTTATTTACGTCAAAAACTGTGTGTGACTTGCTATGGGGAGAAGTTAATTTGAAGTTACATTTAAGCCCAGAAGCAAAACAAGGGGCCATCTCAGCAGTTTCTGTTACTCCGATTTAGCCGAAACTACTTGAATTTTAATGTTTTTCACAATTATCACTACTCTCTCACTAATAGTTAAAATTTTTAAACAATTCATAATGAATGTATATAGCAATAATTATTAGACATATTTAAATGCATTATTTCTCTTACTCGTTCAAATTCGTTACACCGTCTTTTGAAATAATATTTCTTGGACCTCTTCCTTCCAAACTTAGTTTGTAAATTGTTTTTATGCTCGTGTGCCTTATTACACATGACTAAATACAGTTATTTTAGTCACGTGAGCATAAATGCATTTATGCCTGCCCACGATGGAATGTTCCATCATAGCCTGCTTATTTGAGAACATGCGGTGAAATAATGTTGTTTACCCTACACCGTACATTTAATTACAATTCCGGAATTATTTTACTCATTCCCATGTTGTACGATGTTTTCAGAATATTTATATATGCTCTATAAATATCATTTTCTTTTGATTTTTCATTGTTAAAATGTATCCTAAAGATTTAGACAATTATATTTGGCGCTGTAGTATGATTTTGGCCAACCTGAATTTTGGGAACATTTGGCAAGTTGGCTTCACCGTTTACTTCCAATTTTCGTGAAGTTTCTGTCAAGATCAAGATGGTGGATTACAGCAAGTGGAAAGATATAGAGGTATGTATATAATATCACAAGAATTGTGCGAGGTATGCGTGGTAAATCATTAGAAAGAATTCTTGATTTCTGTACAGAAAAGTTTATGTGCATAAAAAGATGTGTTATGTTGATTCTTTTTATAAGGACAATAGCTACGAATGACTGATTTCGCTGTGCCGGGCTGGTACATTAATGTTTTCTAAATGAAAAACTGAGGACACCGTAGAATCATTGTTGAATTGGCACAAAGCAATTACATTCGAAAATATTCGTTGCATTTCCAAGATCAGCGATTGTCGAGAAAGCGCGTATTTTGGAAGGACGGTTTGCATTCTGTCAGTCGTACATGTTTTCTTTATTCTATTTCTCTATCAGAAATATTAATTTTTAATTTTTTGTTGTCAATTTATCGAAATGTGGAATTTTCTTATTTCCTTGGTATGTTTGCAAAATTGAAGGCATTGCAAAACTTCTGTGATGGATTTAATGGCAAGATTTTGAGAATTTGTCAGAATTGCAGTCCAGGTAAGGTCTAGGGTGAACGTGGGCCTGTTACAAACTTGTTTTGCAGTGGAATTTTAACATGTTATTTTCTAGATATTGTTTAATATGTTTAAACAGAAGAAATTGATAGTTTCTTTGTTTTTCAAACCTATTTTAGTTAATGTTCCTCTAAAATACTTAAATAATGTTAGTTATTTCTTATTATAAATGTTAGAAATTGTAATGTACAGAAACAATTATTTGCTCATGCCCTTCAACTGAATTTATATTTTATGCAAGTTGTAAGTTATTAAAAAAAATGACAAAAGTTTGGTTCAATTGTAGATATCTGATGATGAAGATGAAACGCACCCAAATATTGATACACCATCATTGTTTCGATGGAGACATCAAGCAAGACTGCAGAGAATGGAAGAACTTCAGAAGGAAAGAGAAGAACTTGCTAAATCAAGAGAAACGTAAGTTTCAAGTATTTATTTTTATATTATTGCAGTTATCAAGATATTCCTTCAACCATGCTGGTTGTACTGTGTACATAACTATTGTACTCCAAAAAGAGAAGTGCTAGAATTTGTAGTAAAACAACTCAAAACTGAATTTTGAAGCACGATGAGAGAGAAGATGATGATCATTAGATTGTTGTTTTGAAATGTTCATTATTTGCAACTTTGAATAATATTTAGGTATTAAAATGTGGATTTTAATTTTAAATTTATTTATTTTTGTGAAATTGTTAGTTATTAGTATGAGATCCTTTGTTTGCTTTTTTTATTAAACTTAAAATGTTTTTCTATAAACTGATTTTCTTTTGTTTTGGTATACAGAAATTTTAAAAAAATTCAAGAGACAAAGGATAAAGTGTCTGATGCAGAGAAGAAAGGAGCTCCGAATTTAGACGATCTGAAAACAGCTTTAAAAGAATTAGAGAAAGAAGCAAATTCATTGAAGCAGAAAGAGTCAGAGTTTGAAAAGAAGGAAAAGGTATTGTCAATTGGGTGCTTTGTGGTACTTTCTTTCTATTTCATACAAAATGAGTTGCTGATTGTTGATCTTTCTAGGTTACTCCTTGGAATGTTGACACTATCAGTCATGCAGGCTTTACCAAGACAGTTATAAATGCCCCACCTTCAAGGGCAAGTGAAGAATTATCAGAAGAACAGAAGGAGCAGCGTATGAAAAAATTTGTGAAAGAAAATGAAAAGACTTTAAAGAAATTTGGAATGCTCCGTCGTTTTGATGACAGTAAAAGATTTCTTCAAGAACAACCTCATTTGGTGTGTGAAGACACTGCAAATTACCTTGTCATATGGTGTATTAACTTGGAAATGGATGGGGTAAGATAAATAACATATTTTTCAATAACCTTTTACGTAAAAAAAAATTGTCAGTAGTTATATTAAATTGAAGTCGAAAATCCTTCTCCAGCTTGTGAAAACATCGACATTGACTCCTACTTGTTGGAAATGCTATTGAATTGTATTATTAGTTTGTAAGAAGTATAGAACACAGAAAAAGTTGTATCATTGCAGAGTTGGTATAGTTTTCTCCAGCCCAATGAAAAAACACCCAGGTTCAAAAATAATCTTACACATTTTAAAGAGGTTTTAAAAAATTCAAATAAAATAATGAAATTATAATTTTTTGTATAAAAATACTTATTAACTCAAAGTTAATCACAACAAACACAGAAAAGTTTAAGAAACAGCAAAAGAACAAAACAAAGGCAATAAAATACACATTTCATTTGGTAGTATTTATAACTCCAATTTCATCACAACAAATGGGCACAAACAAAAGAAGCTGAATTAGCTCAGAGCATGTAGGTGTAACGGAGGTGTTAGAGGTTCTGTTTTGCAGGTCTCTGACAGGGAATACTTAGGTTCAAGTCCCAATGCTGGCAGATTTCCAATACTACTTATATAGCAAGGTCAAATTCAGTTGTTGTCTGGAGGATAATTCTAACAGCTAGGTGCTCTGATCAGAAGTCTTCCATATTTCTCTAATAATTATCAGATATATTCCAGGGAAGTACCCATACAAATGGGCCATGGATTGCATGCATGCATACTTACGTATATCCCTTCCTTATCTTTCTCCCATATTCTTGCTTATGCACTTCTGAGAATTAAATGTACTACTCTGCCGTGTCATAAGCTTAGAAATTGTCCTGGCTGTGGGGGTGCTCATCTGGATGGGGAAATCCCCCACAAGCCGACTTAAAAGGTTGGCACTGGATCTCACTGCCTTCTCCTGAGTTAAAACATTCACTGCACTAACGGGGCAAGACTAATGATCACAGCGATTGACATACCTGAAAACCTCAATCACACACAAACTCATGGACAACACAGTACTTGTACTTGTAAGTTAATTTATAGTAAAACTTTTTTCCAGCTTTGCTACATGTTATGCATTAGTTACTTTATTACTCATATACAATTACATTTATGAAAATTTGTCACTAGTAATAATTAGAGTTTGAAATCTTTAAACAGGAGGGAGGAGGATAATCTTTGAATGTTCAAAATACATACTGCTTGAAAGTATTTCAATTTGACTTTTTGAATGGTCAAAATCAGTATTTTATGTGAACTAATTTTAAAAAGTAATATTTGCTAATGAAATTCACTCAAAAGTACTCACTGAATCATTTTAAAAATAATAAATAATGTTCGTTAGTTTTTTATTTTCTTCAATTGTATCATTAATGTAATTTTTAAAAAGTGAATTTTGCTCTAGTTAAATATTTACGTAGTATTCAACAAAAATCCTCAATATACTTGAAAAAAGCCAATTCTAATTTGAAAAGATCATACATTTTTTGTGGTAATTTACTGACAAAAATGATCCAATTTAAAACAACCTTCTCTTGAACCATTGCTTCCATTGTAATTAGAATCATTGTGATTGTTTGTGTGATTTTACTGAAGATTTTCTTTGTTTTGTCTTTTCCAGTTATTCTCTCAACCCTTCTGGTTATTATTACTTGCTTTATCCTAATCTAATACAAGTGACAATAGATAATTAAATTAAAGTACACATTAGCATAATTATATCAAGGTTAATTTTACTTGTAATAAAAATAACTAATAAAAAAAAAATTGTGTGTGTGTGTGTGTGTGTATATAGAGGGTCTTTAGCTTAACTGCCTGGAAACACCACCACTTGCTTTGGCAATGCTTGAAATACCTGTGGCATCCCATTTACTTTTAGTGACCCACGGCTGCCTGACCTCAGATTTCGGAGTGAGAGAATGTGGCTAATTTTAGTTGGAAGAGAGAAAGCACTTAATCTGTCTTTGTTAGTCTTCAACGTACTGCAGCCACTACGCAGAAAAGAGTAAATGCCTGTCTCTTGGCAAACGATGGTCACTTTCAGCGTTTTAGACAGTCAGATTTTTTGTTATTATAAGGAAATTGTTTTATTATTTTCAAGAATTATTAATTTACTACTGATTTATGTTTTATTTGTATGTTTAATCATTGTATTATGACTTTTTATTATTTGCTTAATAATCAGATTCAATAATAATAATATAATATACATTATTTCTGTTATAAATAATGAAGAACTTGGCGTTAATGCTTTACGAGATATTTCTCATTTCTCTCTGAGCCTTTCATCAAATAATAATTATTGTTTTGTTGGTGTTAATAAATTGATAAGCAGTCATAACTTCCCTCCACATCTTCAGCATTACAGTTTGGTTTCATAAGCATACTGGACAGAATTACCTAAAGAGACATTTTATTTCTTGCTCACCCTTCCCCGCCACACCTACTCTGTTCAGATTTCAAAAAGCTTCTGGCATGTGAGCCATGTACCAACCCGCCTAAGCTCGTGATTGGGAGAAACAAAAGGAACAGAAAAGTTACTGACAGTCGCCTCCTCTGCTTTCTTGAAAGGTGGCAATAACGTGCGATTGCCAAACCAAGACCAAGTGCTCTCAGACGTAGGTTGTTAGTTAAGCTAAAGACCCTGTATATAAAATATTTTCTGTGTTTTTTAATGATTAACTTTCTTGGAATTCCTTTTAAAATATTTTCTCTTTTTACCAGAAACATGATTTAATGGAACATGTTGCACATCAGTGTATTTGCATGCAGTATATCTTGGAATTATCAAAGCAATTGAATGTGGATCCTAGGGCATGTGTGTCTTCATTTTTTACAAGGTAAGGATAAGAAAATTGAAGATATTCTTATTTGCATTTCATAGATCAAACTTGAATGCGAGTCTTAAGCAGATATTCTGGGGTACATCTTATGCCAGGGAGAGAGAGAAACAGTATTTCTCGGTTTATTCTTATTGGTTACTACCTGCATTTGTCATCTGTACATTTGTTTCTTTTTAAATTACCACATGTCTGTAGAACAGTTGTGCTCATTTACTCTTCTATCATGTTGCTAGGTGTTTGTAAATATTACTGCCTTCCCTACCCCCTTTTTTCTTACTCGCTCTCTCTTGCTTACTAGTGACACTTGCTCTCAATTTTCATTTCCATAATATATTCAATTATCTAAAGTGTGAATATGAATGATTTCTCACTTTAAAAAACAAAAAGAATAACTTAAAAGTTAGGAATGGTGAAATTAAATTCTTGTGAAAGAAAAAAAATTTATTTTTTTTATAAAAGTTACCTAAAGAAACAATGTAATTCATGGACTGTGAATTTATATGCTGATGACGTGTTCATGGTAAATTAATTAAAATATTAACGGAAGGTTGCAAACACAACTGTCTTTGATACTTTTGTTATTCTGTTGTAAATTATCGGATCCTTAAATCCATTTTGCCTTTTGAAGTAGTATGTTTGTACTAGAGTGACCCTCAACAATTTTATTAATCCTTTGTGTGCCTTTGTCCCTCTGGGTGAACCACAGCATAATTTCCCTTTACAGTCCTTTGGCCCCACTGTGTTACGCACTCTTTTTGGTATCAATCTTTTGTCCCTCTGTGATAGACCACTTCCATAGTGCCATCTTGTGGGAACATCCAAAAAGCCTAAGGGTCTACCTAGAGAGAGAACACTGGATGCTGCAGCATGAGGCATTAGAGGGGGGGAATTGGCGCAGGCAAGTTTACTAATCCTTTAAAGAGAAAAGTGTGAGGTTGACATTAGTATAGGTCAATCTGTACAATACAATTTTCTTCATCAGTCTTGAGTTGAGGATACATCCTTCAAATGTTCTGTGTAGGAATAAAATCAGCAGAGATACTTGCTTTACCTTTATAACACTTTATATCTCTCAAAATATTCGTAACTGGATCATGACTTTTCAGGGTAACTTTTAATTCTATTTTTCTTCCCAGAGTTTGCCTCATCATTGATTTTACCTAGTCTAATCATGGAAAACTTGCTGATGTCAACATCGATTTATTTAAACAGCTTTTACCACTTCATTGCCATTTATCATGTGTTGTTGTTTAGGCAAGTTACTCAGACAGTTATTGTGATTTTATCATTTGATTTCCAATTGTATCTATTGAAAATGTACCTTTCTTTTAAATATTATTATTTAATTTAAAAAAATACTGGATAATGTTGATAAATGTGATTTTTTAATAATTTTCTTCACCTGTAGTAGGATTAAGGTGTCAGGAAATAGTACCTACAAAGAGAGGTACTGTTTTCTAAAATACTGTCTTCTTGGGACTGCATGTTATTGTACAGATTCAGAAGTGGCCTTCTACATTTTTAATCTGTTTTGAAAATCGGTATTGTTAAAAACATTCTGAAACAACCTGAGAATCAGACAATTCAGTAAATTATTGTCGAATAGATTATTGCTGCTAAATATTGTGTGTATCAAAAAAATCGTTTTATAATTGTAATTTGTGGTATAAGAGAGTATAATACGATTTTATTTGTGAATGGAAAGTTAGGCCCCCGAGATGATAGAAGTCAAGGGACTCATTTTTCAAAAGCAAATAAAATCTTTTACTCTCATGTGCTATAGATTGCCATGAGTATCTTATATTTCTAGTTTCAATGAGTTAAGTTTTGAGCAATTTCCTTGATTTTATTTTTTAATTTTGTTTCTTATAGGATACAAGTGGCTGAACCTGAATACAAGAATTCATTTAATGATGAACTGGATTCTTTTAAAGAACGCATCCGAAAAAGAGCAGCTGAGAAGATCCAAGAGGCTGAGGAAGAAGAACGCAAAGCACGCTTGGGGCCAGGTGGTCTTGACCCAGTCGAAGTGTTTGAAACACTCCCTTCTGTGAGTTACTGTTCATTGTTAATAAATTATGTAAACTCTGTTCTATGTTTATTGGGGATGTTATTAGTGGTTGTTCCAGATAGTGCCATGGAACAATATAATTGCTTTCTTGCTTCTTTGGTTTTGTTGTCTTGTAGCACGATATCCACACACTCTGCTCATCTTTAGGCTATGTATTATTTGCTTCTGCAGAAATTTGCTAGATGCTCTGGGGGAAGTGCATTTATAAAATTGGTGCCTAAAATGCGTATTTTAGCGATAGAGGATAAGTATGTCTATTCGTCAGTCAATTACCTTTTTTGTAATAAAAAAAAAAATTATATCGGCTATTTAGGCTCATTTTATGGTAAAATCATCTCAAAAAGTGAAAATTCTGTTGTTGGAGCATCATCACAAGCCATTTCAGCACGTTATTCCCAAAGATTGTCTCATGATGCAATCAAATTTAGAATAACTTCATGCATTATTTAACTAGTCTTTTTCTACTAGTTTTTGGATTATTTGTAAACGTTTCTAAATTTGATAGTACTCTATTATGAAAAATGATTTTGAGTGAGATACAGATTGATAATTTAGTAGGGGTTTTGGTTATATATGGTGTGACAAATTATGGAAAATAATTTTATTCCAAAGGTTTTACAGATATGGGTAGATTCTATATTGGTATTTGTATTGGCATTGGAATTCTGTATTGGATTCTGTATTGGCATTGTAAATTCTATATTGGTATTTAGCTCATACGTTTATTGTCCTTTACACATCTTAATTTTTAATATATTTCTTATTTACTTACCTGTAATAAAATAGTTGAAGATTAAAGAATATTTATTTGCAGTTATATCTTGGCTTGTACTGCCTATTTATGAGAATGTAGTGTCTGATTTTGTCTTTCAGAGCTTACTTTAGGCACCTTAATAGATTTGAGAGCATAAAATCCAAAGTCTAAGTATCCTAGAGCTACATTGCTAATCATTTGTTTTGCTTTAAGGCCCTTCAAAAGTGTTTTGAAACGCAAGACATTCCCTTGTTACAAGAGACCATTGCAGCCATGCCTGAAGAGGAAGCTCGGTATCATATGAAACGTTGTGTAGATTCAGGATTGTGGGTACCAGATGCTAAAAAGGCTGAGCAAGCAGAACAAGCAGAGCAAGGAGACAGTGCTGCCACAGAATCACCTGAAGTTGATACAGAAACAAAATAAAGGTAAAATAAAAATTTCATAATTTTATTTAAAACTGAAATAACTGATAATTAAAGTGTAATTTTTATAACTAAACACGTTTCCAATGTTGAAGCAACTCTTCCCAGGAATATTGAAGTGAAATTAAATCTGGTTGGAGTTTAAGTTAGAGCACAGAATAAATGAAGGAATAATAATTAAAATGAAACTATAAGATTAACATACCATTATTTTTTATTAATGCGAATATTTATGTTGCAGTTTCTGAGGTTATGGGAATTAATTTTTCAAATGTTCATTTTAGGAATTATTGTATTTACCCGAATAAAAGTTTTTTCCTAAACATCTGATTCGGAAATCACGAGGTCGTCTTATATTCACATATTAAGCCTAGTCATTGTGGGTCTCTCTTTACACAGCCTTTGGAACAAAACCCACAGAACTATTGGCTGGATTTTAACGAATTGTCATTTTCTCTTTTCACTTAGGAACAATGTGTTTTAGTACAGTCATCATCATCATCATCATCATCATAATAATAATAATAATAATAATAATAATAATAATAACAACAATAACAATAATAATAAAAATAATAATGATATAAAAACTGTCTAATTCATAAAGCATTAAATTACCTTAAAAAAAAAAAAGAAAAGAAACATCTATAATCTAACTCCGCACAGAATTTTTGTTCAATTAACACCACACCACACTGCACTGCATTGCATTTCACTTCACGTCAGTATGACCCTTTAATCACTTCCTTCATTATTTCTCTGTTCTACACTGCACAACACCTCACTTCACAATATATTACTTACGAATCACTCTATAACCTACTATTTTCTGTTAAGTCCTTCATTTAATATTACCCTAAATTAATTTCTTAACATAGAGCGAGATATTCCCTAGTAGATAGTCCATATTAAGCTCCAAAATATTTGAGAGATAAGTGGGTATGTGAGATCTACATAAACAAAATTGAGACTTATATGCTGAGTTTTATTTAGTTATTCAAATTAATTTTGTTTCATAGATGTAAATTTTAATTATTTTCATTCTCAAAAAGAGCTACCGTTGACTAGTTTTTTAACAAGTACCAACAGATCGCGTGGCCATGGAATGAAAAATTGAAGCATAAGATTGAACATAAAAAAGCACCATTACACAATTAGTATGAGCAAAATCATTAAAAGTCACTTTGTGGTCATATAAGTAACTTAGTCATATACCTATGTATTTTTTACAGTGATCGCCATTAATAGCAAAAATTTCCATGTTTGAGTGCAGCGAAAAGTCTTTAGTAAGTTGGGCAATCCCCTAATGTTCTTGAGATTGTCATGACTGCTTAGGGCTCACGCTGCTTCAAAGTTTCATTGTTTTGAATCACTTTCAATACTGTTCGTTGTCTGGTCGACATGCAGTAAAAATTACAATCTGAGCGAATTTGCGGAAGATTTATTTTCAAAGCGCAATTTGAGAGATAATGAAATGATTCCGTAAATATCACGAGAACTACTACTACTGTGGACTCCTACTGCTCCTTATTATCCTATGTATCCCAATATTTTTTTCTGTTATTCCCCTATTTAAATTTTGCTTAGTTAAACTGCATGCTCAATTTTTATGTTTTAATAGTTTTGATTGAAATTTTAAAATTATTTTTGCTATTGCTATGTGCCATATTATTTCCAGCAGTGTGATTAGGTAATTCATAGAAACTATTTGCTAGTTTTCAGTATATTTTTATATATTGTTATGATATTGATTTAGATGCAGATTATTGTGGAAAGTTCATATAAAACTGAAGCTGATATAATGAAATTACTGCATCATATAATTCTGAGAGCTGTATTATTGAGATCTTCAATAATAAAACTAGCATTGTTGGAGATAAAATCTTGAAAAGAGATTTCCAAGTGGCATGGCCTTTTTGTAATCGTTTGTCTTCATGTTGCACTCAAAATGAAAAAAGGGTTAAATATTTTGAAAATAAGACAGGAGAACCATTCAAAATGCATTACTATCGTTCAGGAAATGCAAACAATTCGATAAAATATAGTGTTGAAGAAAAAAGGGGTTTCTATTAAAATACTAAAACTACCAAAGGCCGATTTCAATAAAATGTAATTATTAACTACAAATGTAATTATTAAATTTGCCCATGGGTGGATTAAGATACTGTAGGCCTTCAAGCACAAAACTATACTGGGCACTGCTTCAGAAAAATCTTTAAAACTAAAATACTAATTATGAATAAATCTAAAATCACTAATTTTGACAGAATAAATCATTTTTCCAGTACAGATTTAAATTAACAAATTGCTTACAAAGTAGAAATTGCTTGTTAAATTTCTCATTTACAAACACATGCTTGGTTTCTTATTGTTCCATTCCATTTGTTTTTAAAACTAAACATTGTAGTTCAGTAAACTATTTGATTGATTATTTAGATAAAACCTTTTATGAAGTTTTGAATATTTATTTTAAAAAATTATTTTGCTAGTAAGGAAATCCATCTCTACCTTTACCTATACCTTAAAATGTTTGATATTAACACCAGCAAAACAGTATTTTATAATTGCAACACATTTGAAGCCACTACGAAATCTCATTTCTTTCTGAATTAAATGCCCACTCAATAGCTCTATTGATTGAGGTGCTGATCTATGCTAAAAATTGCTGTTTTGAGTCCTGTGTAAGCAACTGTGCTTGCAGAAGGCAATGACAATCCACTGTGCATCTCCGTAATAATAAAGAGAACATAAATAATTGAGTGGATGGTATCTGTCACCATTTTGTAGCAAGTTAAACCTTTCCTCAGTTAAGTCAGTAAGATCAAGAAGCGATCCATGACTATTATTAACTGTTATATGGGTCTAATCCCAAGCTTACTGTTACATCAATGATTGGTAAAACAGATGATGGGTTAGATATAGTGTCAGGATCACTGATAATCTGCGAGCCATTAAGAGTGTCATTCCATGGAACCCTTGATGTTGTGACTCAAATGTTTAAGCTGTGTGAAATGTGGTTATGTCATTAAAACTTTTTCTTCCCAACAAGTACTGGCTTGAACTGACGGAGGTCAAATTATCTACAGGATTAAGGGATTGCAAGAAAAGAGCGACTTCTAGATTATATTAATAATTACATCTTTGCTACTTGTGTTTTGGAAACTGATTGAAACTTTGTGTCAGGACAGAGATCGTAAAAAATAACATTGATGCGTGTGAATTAGATGAACCATAGGGCATTTTTTAGAAAGAAATGTCAATTTTGTAATTTAAAACTAGTGATCTTTTAACGTGTATGTTTCTGCCAAAAAAACTGAAGGTAAGGGCTTTAGTTTTGAATGCCCTATGGTTGATCTAAAGGGCATATTCCTAAAAGAATTGAGCTAAGAACAGATCAGATGTTTACAAAATTATTTGTAAGATAAAGGTTTGGAGAATATTACATCAATGTAGTTTTATGAATGTTCATCAAACTTAATCTCAGAAGTCTTGGTCTTCTTTGGTTTACAAGAGATATAACTCATGTTGATCATTTAAATTGTATGTGCAAAAATATATTATTAGTTTTGAAATTGAAATTAACTAGATTGTTTGCAATTATCTTTGGTATTTTTAATATCAATTGTGTGATGAAAATAGTATTTTCTTAAATCTTCATTGAAGTAGAGCATTAATTTTGTGTGAATATAACAGTGAATTTGCTCAGCCAGACTGCAATTTTGTTTTTATTTCCAGGTGTGAAGTATTCAGTTACTTCATCTATTAGCAAATTATTGCCAATCGACTGCTGGACCTTTTCTGTGAGGATAAAGTGAATACTATTGTTAAGTGTTCACAGTGAAATACAGAAGTTGCAATGGTGAATTTTTTGTGTTGTGCTCTTGTAAGAAGTAAGGATAGCAGTGAACATACAACTATGTATTGCCATGCTTTCCTGTTATGCACATAATTCGTCTTTTAATTTTGTTACAATCCCAATTTTTTATTATATATTTAGTTCTGAAGAAAAACTCCCTCATAAATAATGTAATCGTACCTTTTGGTATTTTTTTAAATACTGTTGTACGTATAAGCTTGCACATCCTAAAATAAATATTACTGAGATTATCTACTTTTTGTGTACCGTGTTGACTGGTTAATAGTGAGTATTTCATCATGGAATTATGTAAGACGTGTTTCGGCATTATACTTTTTGTTTAGCTTAAATGCTATGTACTAGCTTATCTCATGAATACAGATTGTGTACTAACAGTTATTTTGATATACATTTCAATGGGCTAGTTAAATTACTGTCTAATTAGATTATTAGAATAAGATGATAGTTGCTCATTTTAAAACAGAGTGAATATTCAGTTGTGGCTTATAGATAATACATCTCATTAAGGCTTTGTGTTATTTAATCAGTGTTCTGTTATGTTTGTGTACAATTGGCTTGTGAATGTGAGACGCCGCCGCCACCACCACCACCACCACCAGCACCAGCACCACCATTAGATATGCGTTTATCGGGAATCGCAAATCAAGAAGGAAGATATGAATTTTTCATTAGGACAATATACATTGCTAACATTCACCAGAGAACAAAGACAAAATAATATATTTTACATTTTTATTTTATAATTGTTTTTCTAATTGTATTGTATTCTATGTAAGTAAATGGACAAGGCAGTGTAAAGTAGTAAACATGCATGCTCAGGTAATGTAAACGCTTCAACCATCTGCTGTGCCAAAATGGAAACTTGTTTTATTCTTCAATTTTGCCAACAATAGGTATTCACATAAGACTGAGATAAAGACAAGTTTACAAAGTTCATTGAAAAAGTAAGTCTAAAATCTGTCTAAAGCATACAAATACAGGCAATGTGAAATTTGCCACTTGCAGAAGCATTGCAATTAATGCTGAAAGATAAACATTTATTCGAATTTGGTCCAGTTCTTCAAAGTGAAGAAAAAGCTATCTACTTTTGTCTGTAATGTCCATTTCATCAGTTTTTTTCTTTGTATCTGTTCTAATAACAAAGGCTAAATTTGAAATAACAAAAAGGAAGTTCTTTTATAATATACATTGAGAATTGCTTGTATAGGCCACAAATTGCAAAATTATACTGTTGAATTTATAATAAATGTTGCAAAATGAATTCAGTATTTTTGTGATAGAAATGCTGTATTAATAGTATTTTCTCAACAAAACCAGGTTTAGCAATTTTTTTTTTCTCTTTCCAGCTACAATTTTTCTAAATCCATTCATGAAAGTTAATTGGTTGAGAGCAATTACAGGCTTGAGAAAATTTACTGAAATTAGTTTCTTTGATATCTGAGAACTTTAACTATGTGAAACATTGTATTTTCTATACTCCTTATGATTAGGAGTTCATGCAATTGTGCCATATCTAATGAAAAATTCTTTTAGAATTTGAATCTAGGGGGGGGGGGAATCCCATTTTATTATTTACTCTGTTCCAAATTTGTCACATCACACATGTTTATTTCCCCTTCAAATGTCTTACAAATTATTTTCAGTTCTGTTGTCTTAATGTTGGGTCACAAACTTGTTTACTTACATTCTACCTGATCCTAAATATGAAGCATTGAGTAATTTCCTATGAAAATTGGAAAGAATTTCAAACATTTTCTGTTAACAAATCCTTTAATGTGCTATATAAATTAGCTTAACTAAGATGTGTCAATTCTCATTCAATGTTTTGAACTGTCCTTTCAGAAGGACATCAGGATAATTAGTTCTGTTGGAACTCTTGGGCATTTTAGAAAAACTGGTGAAACACCAAGTTGTGTGGATTAAACTTTACACTCTTCTCTAAATTCAATTGAAAGATGCAGGTGTAGAAGAAAATCCAAGTGTACATTATTTACCACCAGGTAGATTAAATGTTTCTGTGCTTTGTGATAATTTAGAGATCAGATCATTTGGAGAGAATCCACTCATTACTGTTTATGCTGAGTGCTAAATTGGAACAATTAGCATCTCATGTGCAATAATATTCTGTTGAATCCAGAGACCCATACTTTGGAAGATGAAACAATTGACAAAAGAAAAACCACGGATTCAAATGCTTGAACTTGACCCCAACCAAGGAGCTCATGCATGTAAAGTTTATGAAACCAAGGTAGGGACTATGATGTGGTAATGGCCTTAGTTAACCAGTCACTTTGATGGTCTTTTACCAGTAAAGAACCATTCCATGTCCTGCAGATGAGCATGGAATAAGAGGAAAGATTTAACATCTGTAGATAAAATTTCAAAAGATAAGGGCATTGTGTGAAGTTTATTCTGACTCAGCCCCAGGTTTCCTCATTCAGTCATGTTTGTTGCAATAAGTGTTGCAACCAATTTTGTCAGTTCAGCCATTGTATTCTGTAGAGATGTTCTAGGGAAAAACAATTAGTGTACCTGCTCCTAAACTATTGCATACCTACAAAAAGGCAAATGGGGGCATAGAGCTGATGAAAATATGCCTTTATAGTTGCAAAAGAGGGGGAAAAAAGTTACATATTTCATTGACTGCAGAGCAAAATACTTGGTATCTTTGTAGTCAGTGAAGACTTGGTGCATCTGATATTTTACAGTCCAATTGCCACTGCAATAAAAGAACATGTGACTAATAGACATTTTCAATTTTATGAAAAGTAACATTGTTGAATTACCAACAGACAAGCAAAATGTACATGTCCCATACAAAGTGTATTTATTGCAGTTGTGAGATGGCAATCAAAGATTTTCATGTTTTTGAAAATACTAATCCCCAAGTAGTTACACATCACAAGTCCTTTACCTTCCATGAAAGTTGCCCTATTGTTCTGACATCCTTCTCGAAGAACAATTTTGTAAATACTAATACAAACAAAATTGTTTTTACTTTCATCCTAATCTTTTCAGAAAATTAGGACTTTTCATTTCCTAAATGATTTTTTCTTGTATTTATCTCTGAACTATGCATTCACCATAGACATATCCAGCAAAACAGGGCATGTTCTTTAATGGCAAAAAGGTCTTGCATCCCTGATTTTTTTTCCCATTCAGCATTTGAGTCTTGAGGCTGGTAGTGCCAAATGGAACATGATTCACATTGCAGTGCTGCACTGCATCAATAGCAAACATCCAGAGGTTTCAGGGAACCAGCATGGGAAACCCCCTCAAATACATCTTATTGATACTACCATAAACCTATGTATTCTTTTCAATTTTCATGCATAAAGGTTAATATATTTAGCAATTGAGTGTTTATTTCCCAGCAAAGTTAGTGTTCCTTGGATTGGATTAGGCCTGCCACACACATTGCATTGACAAGTAGGTTAAGACTTGCAAAACTAGATGTCTGCTGTTCCACAAGATTCTGCGTTAATATACAACCTGTATCTTAACACATGTTGACCGGTCATGTGACAGGCCATAGGGTGCATGGTAGTGTAAGCACTGCAAAAGTTCCCTACACTTTCAATTTATTTCAAATAAACTGGCTAGTAACATCAAAGTAGCGTACAATGAATCAAAGTAGCATCTTTCCTTAAAGTTCAATAGTCATCTTGGTGAAGCTTTACCTAATTTACTGGCAATTGGCTTTTAAAATATTTTTCCAACCAAAAGATATAATTACATTTCTGGGTTTGGTCCTTAGATTAAAAAAATCTTCAGATACTCAAGTTCCTACATTTATTCAGTTTTGGATTATTGCATTACACAAAGCATGTACAAATACCAAGTGAAAAAAAAGGGCCCTGAGCACCTGTAGATCAACACAAGTTTTGATAGAAAAATTGTCAATACAGGGCAACATTTGAAAATATGTTCAAAATTAACACCTATTTATTACAAACACGCTAATCATATTGTACTGTGGGATATTAATCATATGATATGAAGTTTCAATACAAAAAAATAATTCCTCTTTAATTCCTAAATGTTTTAAAAAACACCAGGTACTGGAAATGCACAGAGGGAATGGTCTGTAATACCTTCACAGTACAGTACAAAGGCTAGTATTTGTTTCCACTATAACCTAGCTTCTCCACATGAACCAAAGTTTCTGGGAGATTCAGTATAAAGCATTTTCATCAAGAAATTAAAAGCTCAAGTACTTTACAGATCAAATTAAACCTACATTTAATACTTGCACTTATCCTCCTCCCTTAAGCTACATTTGCTTGTAGGAAACCGATTATACTGGTAACCTCAAAAAGTTAATGTTTTGTATAAAAGAAATGTTCAAGCACGAAAGTTCTAGAGAGGACAAACAGTGAATTTAAACATAATTCAGATGTTCAGGCAATTGTCAGGCTCAACTGAACAATGTGGAAGCACTTGGCAAAACTTTCGTTGTCTAATGGCTGGATAAGAAAAACACAAACATTTCTCTTGAAATACAAAATTGGTCCAGCAAAAACAAGTTTTTGGAAAATTGTGTTGAGCTGGATGTTGCACACATAAAAAAGTACCCTTCCAGGTTCTTGAAAGTATTTTATGCCTTCTTTTCTTCATCAATGGCTGAAACAAATGGTTGTATTATAGAATTATTCATGAACTTTAACTACACCTCAACTGTAAATACCATACCTTCCTTGGTAGGGAGAGGATTTTTTTCCTGCGTCTCTGTATGCTTCAATTTCTTGGGGTCAAAGTTCTCAATGCCAGCAATGAGGTTCTGCTTTCCTTTTTCTTGTTCAATTGCTATAAAACAAATCAAGATTGTTAGAATTTAGCAAATTCCAATTGTTAACACAAAATAACTAACTACTCTTTACCTTCTTTGTCTGGGAGAGGGTTCTTTTCTTGTGTTTGGGTGTGCTTCAATTTCCCTGTGTCAAAAGCTTCAACACCCTGGAGAAGTGCTTTTTGCGTCTTCTCAGTTGCCACATCTAGAAGTAGTACAACAAGCCCTTTATTTAATTTCATAAAAATATATTTATAAGAAAATGCAAAAAAGGGCACCATGTGTGCACTGTAAGAAAATACAGAAGTTTTAATATTCCACTGAAAGCATTTTACCTTGAGCATTCGGAAGAATAATTTTCTCCTCTGTGCTGATTCTTTTTAGCCTCTCAGGCTTGAAATTCTCCACTCCCTGAATGAGTTCAGTGTGTTGTCGTTCTTGTTTCACGTCTAAGCAAGCAACATTCATGCAACATGCAAATCTTTACAATGCATCTATACTATGTTATTACTAAATTCTACATTCATAAATTGCAATTTCACACGAGACCACTTCAGAAATTTTTTAAGCAAATTAACCACTATGAATTGCCCTTGCTGTACTCCTCAGTAGGCATTCAAAAGTTCTACACCTTCAAATCAGTTTGCAGCCATTTCTACTTTATGCACCAAAGATTTCACTTCGTATGAAATGACAAAGTTTTACTAATATCATGCACACACTAAATCATGCACAATGCTTTTCTTGTTCAATTAAGGCCCAAATTGATACTAATAAAGATTTTGATTAAGCACTGATTTCCCAATCAAAGCTACAATGATACCTCTTCATTCAAAATCAAGTTTGTAAGATGGCATCTTTACATACTATACATAATGCAAATCCAAAGCTATTAGGCTTACAAGCAGAATACTGAGAGGTATTGTTCCACAGTTCAAGATTTATGGAATGGAATTTGGAAGTCAGGAGATGGCATTTAAAGAGATCAAAATTTCCAAATTACAACAAAGCTCAAAACAAAAAGCTGGACAAGCACACCAACTATCTAGTATAATTTAAATAGAGCATTTTAATCTTTAATTGTAATGTTCATACCTTCAGCAGTAGGAAGAATGTTTTTCTCCTGTGGAGTTACATTTTTCATATTCTCCGGTTTAAAGCCTTCTAACTCGCTTTTTAAATCGACAGCCACCTTTGGCAGGTCCTTCAACGACGGGCTGACTGGGTTAGACATTTCCTAAAAAAAAAAAGAAAACCTAATTAAATTCAATTCGTGGTAATTACTGAAAAATTTTCTACAATTCAAATACATAAACAATTTCAGGGCAAACTTAATACACGAGTTAACTACAATTCGACGTTACCGCCGTCTCTTATCGATCTCGCCGCTATGCAACACGCCCGTTCCATTCGTTCACGCTTTAATTTGGCGATGCGTCATAGGAAATGAATTATCCCGCGCTTCTGCGCGTTCCCGCCAAGTTCTCTAGCATTCCACATATCTTTAAGTAATATTAGAAAAGCACTAGTGCCAGGCCAATGCCTTCTATTTCTGAAATTTGCCTACCACACGTACATTAGTATTAAGAATAGTTTACATCGCAACTTGTGTGTAGTATAAACACATACCACGATCAGAGTATTCTAAACAATAATTGGCAACTAATTAGCTCTTGTGTTTAGCGTTTATGATGTCCGGTTTGTTATGTCCGTAGAGGGTGAACCCACTTGAAAATATCAGCTTACTATCACACGATGAGAATGCTTCACACGTAACTCCTTTTCAGCAAGAGGAAAGAACAAGCTACTACTCCGTTGTCCCGGCGGTACACTCCGCAGACCACCTGTCGAAAACGAGCTTCCCACACCTGTCGCGAAACTGCAAACCAGTTAGAAAAGTGGCACTTGTAGGAAGTCTTTCCAAGATTGAATATTTCGAAGAGTGGAGAAGGATATTTGACAAGTTAGCACCGAAAATTAACCTTTAACGAACTATTTCATAATGCTTAACATTAGTGTTAATTTTTTACTTTTGAAACTTCCTTCGTATTTTGTGCGAGTACGAAATGCAGTTATTGATTACCTCTACATAAGAGCGAACGCGGCAGGCCACCACTACCGAAAGGCAGCGGCGAAGCTATGGCCACGTCGACTTCTGGTATGCCACCCCACTCCTAGTCCCTTTGTGGTTGATAAAGCACGACTGATAAGCCCAACGACAGCAGGAAACCCGAGGAGTGCCCAAGCTTCCGCACACCACACCCATCAAAAAGTGCCCCCAACATTCCGATCTTACAACGGGGTCTCAAGTTTTCGTGCCCGAACGAGACTACATTTTTTAAATATAATTGCCAAAACCCTACCATCGAGATTGGTAGTTTGCATTCCTCGGTAAATTAAAACCATTAATTTATTCCGTGAGCAGCAGGTTTCTTTTGTTGCTTTTTTATAAAAATTATGAGTTTCGTAAGTGGTGGGCGTCAAAATGAACGCTTCGCTTTTTAGTGGTGGAAGCATCATGCTGTTAGCACATACTTCAGATTCACCTACGCGATGGCTCGCTCCTCCCCAGGCAAAGGGAACTCCTAAGAATACCAGGAAACCATCCATATTTGACATACATTCTCTGTCCGCATTATTTTACCTCATACATATACATGTCTCGATAGTTCGCATACTTCCTCTAAGAGTTTTACCAAACAATTGCGTCAGAACTGACACTGCACATTATATCCATTTTTTAACAATTCTAATAGTGCAATTTCGATGGTGTCCTAAATTTCATTAATTATCTGCAAATCCCTGAAGTAAATTTCAAACTAAGAACCTAAAATCAATCCTTAATCCCACCCCAGAAACTGATCCGTGCCAGTTCCGTTTTAGCTCGAACGGACAGGAGGGCAGCTACTGCAACAGTAGTTCCGAGCACTTCGTTGTTCACGCCATTGAATGTAGTTTGTTCCCCTCAAAAACTTCCTTACATCTGCAGGAGTTCTGAAATTCTAAATGTTTTCTCACATGTAACGTTAATATCGCTTACTGAGAGATGCAAAGAACAGTATTGCTTAAGAAGGCCGAAGAACCGCGCTATATATAGTCATGTAAAAAGCCGTGCTACCGTTTCTCTCCACTCCAATAGTGGTGGTATCTTGTCCTCGCTGACTCACCAACCCGGCCGCCCTCCCTTCCCCACGCGGCAGATAGCGCGCCGATCGCGAATCAATATTGTCCGAGGTATCGGGCTGACTAATTCTCGGGGCCTTCCCGAGGGTAGCTGAGGGTAGGTCCCGCAACGTGACTCACCCCTGCCCCCTAATGGGTGCGCTACCCCCCCCTACGTTCCAAGCGAGGGCGAGCAGCGATGGCACATCACAAGGAGGTTCAACAGCCTCGCCACTCGTTCATGTCACCTTCACGACTACGTGGCATGAAGACTAGAAATCTGTCGCCACAAATTGCCATCCCAGAGAAACTTCAGAAGCAGCAGCTCCTTAGATAATTTCACTTACAATATCTTCTCCCATCACCTCATCTCACATTTGCTACTTTACATATGTTAAGTCTATCGAGATGAACATTTCAAGGATTCCCGGCTAATGATCCCGAAACTGCCTCGCCTACGCTCGTCAAAAATCTGTTAATCTCAATGCGTATCTCGCATTTGCAACAACCAAAACCGAAGCCAAAATTTAATATCACAATGCACTTTTAAACATTAAGAGTAAGTTCTGAACGAAAAAATACAAATATTTGTTGCAATGTTCATTTCGTTTACACACCAAAAAATATTGAGGCTTTTATATTAATATTTCAATTCGTCTATTGCGAAAACAATTATTCGGAAATATTTCCATTGCATTTTGATTTCACTAAACCAAACAGCGCATCACAAGCCACACCCCTACCGCTAGAAAGACGAAGCCGGCCTATCGAGAAAGTCACTTGAGCTGCCGGAGCCATACTTTTTTCTAGGTCGCCGTCTGTTCAAAAAGTTCATCCTACAATACCCTATATAAATTGAAAATGCACAAATAAGAGAAATTCACACCAAAACACTTTAAAATACAATGCTTGTTGCGAGAAACATTTTTTAGTAAGACCTACGCAATAGTATTTGTCGGGTCAATGAACAGGTGCCACCAACTACATTACAATGCATTGAATGTAAGTTGCAATTTCATCAAAAATCGGTATGTTAAACCTCGGGGGCTTCTAGGAACTAATATAGTAACCACGCCCACGGATTTAAAAACAGGTAAAATTTAAAGGCAACTAAAATATATTACATTGGTACATACGTATTTCAAATAACATAAAATCATGAATACCCTACCTTTTATGTATACTGTGAGTCTCCTACAACAAACTAAAGATCAACGCTTCTTGTTATTATCCGGGCTGCAGCTCACTTCTGGCTACCACACACCCTTCTCGGCAAACGTCACTTCGCAATTGACAGAAGAGCCGGCTGCCCGGGGGGTATAAGCCACAGCACGCATGACTCACACGAAGAGGTTGAAATCTTTCAGAAGAAACTGATAACAAATCGTACATTACAATAACTTAAATATTCATTTTTAGAGTAAATGTGAACCCCAATACGTTTAAATATATATTTTATATAAATAAAACATATAAAATGACTCAACTTACCTTCCAAGGAGAAGTAACATTCATTCCCATTCGCTGATTAAACAGAGATCTGTGGGCCCCTCTCATTGGATGAAATTTAGCGCGCTCTTTTAAATCTCACAGCTCTGTAAGACCAAACTGAACATTAGCAGATGTACGTTAAATAATATTCATAGTTTCTAAATTTGAACTCAAGTATTCAATTTTCCCACAAATATTCACTTCCCTCTTTTAAATTTGCCTTTTGAATTTCCACTGCAAGTTTTTGCAATGACAATAACCCACATTTTGAGAAGATGCTAGAAAACTATGTGTTTCTTTTGTCTTGTTACAAATCATGAAAAATAAGTTTTAAAGAAATGCAAATTAGTTTTGAGTAATAAAATATTTAGAAGTGGATACAATGAATCAACACTTTTGCACTCCAACTTGGTGATTCAAATAACTATGAAAGTAAAAGAGAATATTGCACATCCTTTCTAGAGTTCAATCAGTTCTTCTGGTGAATAAGTTACTTTTACTGTTAGCAAAAAATAATATTGGTTTCTTTAAGCTCCATTTATTTGATTTATAAACTACTTTTAAAAACATAAGCTTAATCAAGCAAATTTCTTTTGAGGCTGCAATGTATTTGTAAAGAACGAACAGAATTTAATAAAATTATTCAATGTTTTTAAAAATGAAATGACTTTCATTCAATAACATTACTTATTCGGGACAAATAGCTTTGAAGAACAAATTATTAGATAGATAAAGATGGTCCAAAAAATAACTTGAATCTCACTATATTACATTCATTTGTGGAATCTCAAATAGAAATAATTAAATCTATTTTCTTTCTCAATATTTTTAGAGTTAAAAGCTTTCTTATTAAGATTTAGGAGGAAGTCACTTCCAACTATAAGTATCTAATACAATAAATGAATTAATAAAAGCATAACTTGAAAACTGCTCTTTTCTTAAATAAAACATCGCAAACAAAATAAATAGATATTTATAAATATAGTGTCGATTAAAACTGATCTATATAAGGTGAGATTGGAAATTGGCACTCTTCCAATTGGGAGCTCTAACTCACCAAATGTGGAAAAATTTTAATAAGGGAATAGGAAACATATCTTAAACTCATTATATAAATTATACATTTATAATAAGGTACTAAAAAGTAAAATGAAAATGCAAAAATGTATTTATGTCCTTATCAAAAATAAAATAATATAAGTAGATTAAAAATAAGTAATCATGACATGCTCAAAAATGAGAAAAAGATTTGTAATCAAAATGATACAATCTGGAAAACATCAAAAAGAAAAATATCTCAAGTATGTATTTTTAATAAATGATTAGGTTTTATAATAATTATTATAAATTATATTTAAAATAAGTTTTAGGTAAGTATGTGTTTATAGAAAATAAGAAATGTGAAATCAAAGACATTGGTCAAGACAAAAAGATGATTTAAATTTTGAATAAAATTCATTTGAATTTCCTATTACATATTACAACTTAATTTCTGGATAGTTTTTTAAAATGTAACTGAAGAAATTCTAACTAAGGTAATACCAATCATGTTGTGTTTGAACTATTTATTTCAATGTGAATCATTATTGGTTTCATGAAAATATTGTTTACATTATGTATTCTGTCTTTATCACCTTATGTCATTAAATGCCCATAAATATTACATAAATGTCCATATACATCTTAGTATGGCTTTTCTGTTTCATATCAATTTTTTAATCAAAGACAGCAGTAGAAATAATTCAATTTTTTTTTAAACTTTAAATTTGTTATATCAATCCTGAACTTATATTATTTTCTTGGCGCTTTTTAATGTCTCTGGATTTTTTCTCATGGATTAATTTTTAATATTATATTCACAAAATGCAAAAGTTTGCCATTACGTGTTCACAATTGTTTTTTCGATTAATTACTTACAAAATTTCACAGGAGATATTGAATTTTTTGATTTGTGAAATGTGGTTATGATAAAAAAGAACAACAGAATATTATTTCCTCTCTAAGAATATAGTTGCTGAAAGTCTATGAAGTTCAAGTTTGCTCTATACTGCATATACTGTCAAAATGCATAACTCAGATTTTTAAGTAATTTTCTTTTTTTATACTTTTAATTAAATTATTGTTTCAGGAATTTAAAAAAAATAATATTTCATTTATGTTCTAATATCAATTGAATTTCCATATTTTTTGGGGGAGTTTTACTTATGTTATTGGACATGTCAAGAAAAAGGTTGTAATTCATTACAGTAAATGCATTGGAAGGCAAAACTTAACAAGTATGTTATAAATAATGGTGATTTTTCGAACATGAGGTGACATGCTTGTTTCGCGTTGTTCCTATGGGCAGACCCTTAAGATTTCTGAGGTTCTCTCACCTCTCGCCAATGACAAAAATGTAACAGGATAATTTCATGTAGTTTCTAGAAAGAAATCCTTAGTAAATGTCACGCAAATAACTTCTGTCAAATCTCTGCCCTTTGAGTGAAGTGTTTCATGTCTTCTGCCATATTATTATTGAAAAATATTACCGAAGTTCCGTAAGCCAAACGTTCACAAACTAAACAATTAATTACCATTTCTTGTCGATAGTAAGAAGATTGTTCACGTGGAGGTTGTATTTAAGAAGACAGCTCAGTTTAAACATTATCTATCTTTCCTGTCTCCCACGGCCCCCTACACCCTCCAAGGAAGCTCCAAGCTGGCGCAGACGAAGTCAGTAACCTCGCTCGATGCGCCGTCTGCTCCGACACCGGAAGTGAAACACGCTTTCAATTAGTGAAGGTTCACGTCACATTCAGCTACAATCGCTCACCACTGTGACTGATTATTGCACACGCAATAAAGTGCCTGATTGTTACTGATGCATATGCGATAGTCTTCTACCCATTGAAAGGAAATGAATGAGAATACGAACAGTATATTCAAGGTCAAATACAATGTTGTTTTTTGTTGTTTTTTCCGTTCAGATTCGCTTATATGTTTTCTACCATCCCACTTGCTCACCTAATAACGGTTGACCTATGCACTCGGAATAATTTCAATGAAATCAAGAATGATACCTGAGAGTAGCCACTTCCTTCAGTTCAATTTCCCATGAATTTTCTCCGTATTCTTGTTGTTGCTTTTATCACCGAAATATCTATAAGACTGGCATATATCTCTCTTTTGTTTATCACGAGGTGTTAACTCTGTTATAGACATCTGTCCGATCTGTAAAAATGGTGCACAATCCATTCTTCGGTTTGCTAAACACGTGCAGGTTGTTAGTATTTGAAATGTGGTATCGTCATTAAGATGTTGAAAATATGTTTGTAAATTTCGGCTACAGCACCTCGGCTTTATTCTCATTGTACCTGATAAATGTGTACAACCAGAAGAAATATGTTGGACAGATTCTACTACTGTTGAGCAACCATACCGACAGTACTCATTCCGAATGTTTACGCCTTTAAATATCAGTTTCAAATAGCGACTTGGAAATACTTTATCCTGAATGGTCGAAAAAAGTCATTTAGTTTCCTTAAATATCTGCCCTGAAGTGAACCAGACGTCAACGCTTTCATGTCGACATGTATTTTACAGTGACTCATGTCATGTGGATGTATTCCATAAAGTAATTTCCTCATCTATAAATCCAGCTTTGAAAGACAGCAACCTCTTGTCGTGATCATACCAATGATGTTAAAATATCTGCTTCACAAATACAGTAGAACCGAGGTAATCCGAACTAATTGGGTGTGTGGTCTGTTCGTATTATCCGAAAAAATCTACCGTACATATACAAATACATCTTTAGGATTAACGACCCAATGCAATTTAGCGTGCGGTGAGAGAAAATGGCAACGTAGGGAAGCGATTACAGCGAATACAACGTCATCACATCGCATCATCAAAAAGAGTCAAATCCTTACGGCAAAAGATTACAGATTTTGCAAGCTCCTCTACGTGAAAATTACTGCTACACAAACATGTGATGTACACCGTAGTTACGAGTGTAATAATCATTTCGTTTCATTTCGACTTTTGTTTCAATAATTAGTTGTTCAGTTTTACAGTAATTATAAAATCCTTTCTGTACACTACATTTATGCATTTTATTTATTTTTTTCCTCTATCCTGAATTTTGTTCGGAATTTCAAAATTTCGGATTTGCAGGGTTCGGATTAGCGGGGTTCTACTGTACTTTCTATCCTAATTTGCCGATTCTAAAAAGTGATCCATATTTCTCAGTAATATTATTCGTTGAACTGAATAATTCAAGTGATACATGTGTGCCTTTTTCAATAAAATTGTCACCTTTTGTTTTAATCGGTATTGGTCCACTTTAAAAAGCCAAATGGCTAATTCAATACAGGAAGAGCATATGTGTTAATAGCATTGATTATATTATTATTATTATTATTATTATTATTATTATTATTATTATTATTATCATCATCATCATCATCATCGTGATTTTCAAATTAGAAAATAAAACTCGCAAAAACGGGAAGCGAGCTCAGGTGTTTCTTTAGAAAACTATTAATGCATTATAAAACAATATTAATTACATTGTACTGGGACCATTAGAACCCTCCAGTTTCCATAGCCTTTCCACCTCTATTTGTAGATCAAAAAATTCATTATTTTTTGATCTTCTGGTCGGTCTCCACTGAAATCTGCTGGGATGGACATGTCCACTGTCCTCATAAGCTTCTCGTCAACGACGGTGAAATCTGATATGTTATAATCCCACCAATTGCCGGCCCCGATCTTGAAATGCCTTAGTATTTTTGTGTTGGTGTTTTTGACACCTTGGCTGGTTTGTGCTTCCACATTTGCCTGCAGGACATTTCTGCAAAGATTCCACAGTAGCACGGTGGTCACAGCCATGGCGTAGTTTGTAATCTCTCAGTGCAATCTTGTGGTAATCACAGACTAGGTGATTGACTTCCATCTTTTTCTTTAGATTTATTATATTATCGAAATTTCGTATTCTTGATTTTCTTTTATTACCAATGTTGAGAATGGAATTGAGAAACTCT